GCAAAATATTTTTAAAACTCGATGGTGCTTGAGGCACTTAGAGGATATGATCCGAGCTTCTCTTGGAGAAGTGTGTGGGGGGCAAAAGGATTGCTTAAGGATGGTTTGATGTAAAGAGTGGGCGATGGTAGAAATATTAGTGTTTGGAAAGATCCCTAGTTGGTAGTGGAGGGGCGGATCAAATTTCCTGATAGGCATGTTGGGTGTGATAAAGACATGAAGCAAAACAAGAAAACAGCTGGATTCCGACGGAATTTTTCCGTCTGAAAGATCGAAAAATCGGTCGAAAAAGGGCCTTCCGACGGAATTCCGAAGGAACAGGTCTGTCGCAAAAACCTTCGTAGGAAATTGGACGTTTTCCGAGGGAAATTCCGTCGGAAGCCACCTTTCCGAAGGAATCTATTCTGTCAAAGTTGGATTTGACTTTAAACGGGAGTCCGTCGTAATTTTCCGACGGAAAAGATTCCGTCGAAATATACCACTTCCGACGGAAAATTCCGTCGGAATATACCACTTCCCACGGAAAATTCCGTCGGAATCTGCTTCCTTCCGACGGAAATTTTCGTCGAAAACAGCAATAAAAAAAAAGCCCCCACCACCAGCCCCCCTAAACTGAACCCACGTACTTGACCCACCACCCAAAATCACCACCAAAAAACCCACGTACTTGACCCACTAACCAAACCCAGCAGCACACCCACCCAGACCAACCCCACCCACCACCACACCCACGTGCTTCACCGAAACCACCTAAAACCACCACCAAAAAACCCACCCACCCACTCTACCATCACGACACCGCAACCAAATAAACATCAAAAGATCCGACCACAACCACCACAATCCGAACTCCAACATCCACCACCACCACCATAAATTTTCAAAAAAATAAACCGGAAAACAGCAATATATTTAAAATAAATGAAAAACCGAAAAACAACACTTTAATTAAAATTAAAAAAACCGAAAAACAGAAATTTAATTAAAATAAAAAAACCGAAAAAACATACCTTGATTCCACCGCACAAAACCTCGGAATTGGATTTACGAGGCCAAATTCGACCATGATAGCCTTAGATCTAGGGTTTTCATGGTCGAATTTGACTTGAAAACCTTGTGTTGTTGATGTTGATGGCGAAAATGGTGGTGTTTGTTGTTGTTGATGGCGAAAATGACCGTGAAAACGGTGGTGTTTGTTGTTGCTGAGGTAAGCGTTGGTGGTGTCGGCGACAATGACCGAAAGAGAACAACAACGAGAGAGGAGGAAGGGCGTAGAGAAAGAGAAGGAGAAGGAGAGAAAAGAAGAGAAGGGGCGTAGAGGAAGAGAAGGAGAGGAGAGAGGAAGAGAAGAGGAGGAGAGAGAAAAGATGGAATGAGAAAGGAGGAGGAGGAGGAAAGAGATACAGTAGAAGGAGAGAGGAGGAGAAGGAGGAGGAGGGAGAAATTGAAGGGGCGTATATAGGAAGATTTCGGAGATATAAGGGTTTTTTTTATTATTTAATTATATTCCATCGGAAATTTGCGACAGATTTTATTTCCGTCAGAATATTGATTTTCCGACGGATTATTCCGTCGAAAAGCCCATAAATTCCGACGGAATTTTATTCCGTAGGAAATCCGTCGGAAATTTCCGACGGAATATAAATCTGCCGGAATATATAGGATTTCCAACGGAATTTTGTGTCCGTCGGAATCTGGCCTTTTTCTTGTAATGAAGGTTTGTGAGCTCCTTTGAGATGGTTACCAGAATTGGAATGCAAATATGGTGGGATGCTTGTTTCAGCCGGCTTTTAGGGCGAGTATATTAGCTATTCTTCTTTCGAATAGGCAACGATCTGATTCAATGTTCTGGTCTTGTGACAAAAGGGGTATTTACTCTGTTAGATCAGGTTACTGGTTGGCAAAATTGGGAAGCGATGAACAATAGCAGCAGGTGAATAATGATGCAATGTGGCGCTCTATATGGTGTGTTAATGGCCCGCCTAAATTACAACATTTCATATGGAGTGCTGTCAAAGGGAATTTGGTTGTTAAAGACAGGTTAGCTTATAGACATATTACCCAGGATACTACTTGTCAGGTGTGGGGGACCGAACGAGAAACAATAATCCACTCATTGCTTAAATGCTCGGCTGCTAGTCAAATCTGGGCGCACAATGAGCACATCGGTAGTCTGGTGGGGCTCCATTATTCTCGTCATTTGCTGAGCTTTGGCTGTGGTTAAATAGAAAATTCAGTGAAGATGTTGTTAGGCAAATGATTACCCTTATGTGGGCGAGTTGGAGGTGTAGAAATCTAGCGATTTTCGAGAATGAATATCCAAACCCGGTGATAAATGCTGTGGGGTTCTTGCGGATGGTTATGGACTATAATTCCTATGTTCGAAAAGTCTTTAGGCCTGCTGGTATGCCTACTGCTACTAGCGTGAGTAATGGCTGGACTTGTCCTCAGAGTGGTTATATCAAGGTGAATATCAACGCTTATGTTCCTGCAGGGGGAATGGCTGGTTTAGGGGTAGTATGTAGAGATGAAATGGGAAGTATTATTGCTGGCGCTACTAGAAGGTTACATACTACATCTCCCCAATGCGCTGAAGCCCTGACAATACGTTTTGCATTACAAATTGCCAACAGACTTGGTTATTCCAGAATTCTTGTGGAATCAGATGCGCTAAATGTGGTGCAAGCTACGAAAGAAGATGATGGTGGTTTGTCTCCCATTCATTTTATTTTCTATGATATTAGGAAAGATAGCTTAGCCTTTGACATATGTACTTTTACTCATGTGAAACGCAAATTTAATACGGTTTTCCATCTTGTAGCAAGGTGGGATACCGGAGATAATGTAGAGTATGTATGCTTAAGTTCCTTTCCCCAAAGCTTAATTACTTTGGCGGAATTGGATCTCCTTTAATAAAATGAGCTACTATCTTTGTCTTAAAAAAAAAAGTGAATCACAACATAAAAGTTTTCAATTAATTACATACTCTTATATAATGACTGACTTTTGAACACTATCATAATACGAAAAACGTGAAAGTTAAAATGGTGCAACTATATTGTAATGGAAAAGTAGAGGTTATCATAGATCGGGATAGACTTAAGATTGGACCAATAAATTCATGCTCACAACTTTAAAATGGCCTGGGCTTGAGGCGGGTTAATTTTTCCAACTAAATGGGCCTGAAATTAATTAATGCCCAAGTGAATTTTTTTCCCATAAAGTACCTCTGGCTCCAATTCTAAGCCCAAAAGTGTGAAACCCACCATTTTATGACCTAAGTTATGTTTGATCAGCTCTAGGAGAAAGTATGTGTACTATACTACTATGTAGTATACTCAATATTGCATGTATGCATCAATTCCTTTTTTTTTTTTTTTTTTTTTTTTTTTTTTTTTTTGGGTGAAATACTACATGCAACCATCGGATGTAAGATCATTTTTTAGCCATGCATCTTTGGAATCTTTGTATCAACAATATAATGCAAATGAAATCTTGCACTTTTTCGATCATTAAATGTACTTCCTCCATCCTCAATTTATGAGAGATTGCTATATACACCAGGTGCACGGTACATCCATGAGCATTTTGTTCTCATTTTGATGATTGTTTTTCATTTAATCATCAAATAAAGAGCAAAAACTAACTCTGGGTTAATTTTAGTTGGGTGCGTGGTACACCCGGATGTGTATAAAATATTTCACAAATGATTGTCTTTTTATGCTTTGGCACGTATATTGAGATTAGATGTTACAGTGGTATATATTTTTATAGAGTAGGGGATTATGGTAAACCAAAAAATTATTTATTAATACGGAGTATCTATCTAGACAAACCAATACTTAGTAATTTGCAACATTGCAAGTACCATTTAATTTTATTTTAATTGCAAAAGTATGTGTCAATTCAACATTAATCTGAGATTGGTATAAAGTTAAATTGCTGCAAAGTGGAAGCGGAGGAATTATGCATCGTAGAGTTTCTAACTTTCTCACTAGACTTATCAAGTTATCATGTCACTATTGACAATGTGCTTCTCATGTTATCATGTCACTATTCACAATAATGAAACTCCAGTCCCTAACATCTCATAAATATGATTAAATTAAATAACTACTTAATACCACCTGTAAAGTAGATACTAGATACTAATTTGAGGATAGACAAGTAGACATGTGTAGAATTGCAAATAAATTAAATTCACTAATGGTATACAATATTTAATATCATACTGCCAATTAGAGTTGGTTATTTGGCAGGTCGATCTAAAGGTATATGTGTGGGTCAATAACATGTTTGGGGCATAATTGGGTCGGGTAACCTTTTAAACTGTCATTATTGACTGAGTTAGGCCATCAATAGTGAGCAAGCTAGCTAAAACATGAGCGATGAACATGAGAAGTGAGTACAATCGAATACAAAATTATGCAATTATGCATCATACAACCTTTTCTTATTAGGTCTATATTATTTTTGCCTTATATTGACTCTGACCAATTAAAAGCTTGTTCATTAAAGTTATATTCAATAAAAATCCATTTAATTTGAAACTAAACCTATATCCTTTGAGTTACCCTGTCCATCAACGAGGTCTTCCACATATCAAATGGGTCGTCCAACAATGAGCTAAATTATACAGCTGCCATTTATATAGCATGCATGGTATTAAATTATATATTTATATTCAGATTCATTACATAATAATTAATTCTAACAATAAATAGAATCTGATAAATGTTGTGTTTCATGTGCCTAGCATGTTAAGCACTGTTGAAGGATTCTACAAATCATGGTGATGTTGAGAACTTGAGGTCAATGAGATAGTATGCAGTTTCACCCAGACCAATTAAGTACTTGTTCAATATGAAATATAGGTGACATTGAATCGTTGGTGATATATTGCACATACATGGTACCAATAATTCTACCATGCAATAAATATGTAGCAATCGAGATAATGTAATAATATGAAGTAATATTATGAAGATAATGGAACAATATGAAGTAATCAAGAAGGAAAATATTATTCTTCAATCATTAATTTATGGAATTATGAATTGAAAAGTATAGAATGAACTTAGAGTTCCCCGCACAATATCGCAAAACAAGTACAAATCGAGCCCATTATGGAAGCTATTGCTCCCATACTAAAACATGCGTAATTTGGTATCTAGGGTTTGTAGTATGCATGTAAACTACAAAAGTGTGTGCTCAATGATATCCACCACCAGCACCACCTCCAGCACCAGCACCTCCACCATATCCAGCACCAGCACCACCACCAAGGCCACCACCGCCACTGGCTCCTCCACCACCACCAAGCCCTCCACCACCACCAAACCCTTTACCACCACCAGCTCCTCCACCTAGTCCACCACCAGCACCAGCTCCACCTCCTGCTCCATACCCAGCTCCACCGCCTGCTCCTCCACCTGCACCACCACCAAAACCTTTCCCACCACCAACTCCTCCACCTGCACCACCACCACCACCTAGTCCACCACCACCACCAAATCCTTTACCACCACCAGCTCCTCCACCTAGTCCACCACCAGCTCCAGCTCCAGCTCCACCGCCATACCCAGCACCACCACCGGCACCTCCACCGGCACCACCACCACCACCTAATCCTCCACCTCCACCACCACCAAGTCCTCCACCGCCTCCACCTCCAAGACCACCACCTGCTCCTCCTCCAGCTCCAGCACCACCTCCATAGCCAGCACCTCCTCCAGCACCTGCACCACCTCCAAGACCACCACCAGCTCCGCCACCATATCCACCACCTCCACCTAGGCCTCCACCGTGGCCAAAGAGTTTCTCATCCTCGAACTCATTCGAGGTGCTCACTAGCATCCTAGCACTAGTAGTGCATACTAGGACACCAAGGACTAAAAATACGAAAACTTTGGTACAAGCCATCTTTGTAGTAATAATTATTTGATTATATGAGTATTGATGAGAAATTGAAGCCAAAGTAAGAAGATTATATATAGCAATGCCTTGATCAAGTGATAATGCACAAGTTGATTGTATTACAGAAAGCTTGGAACGGTTGAGAAAGATTATAATTAATGTAGTACAAACTGCATGTGCTCGTCAAGAAACCGTGTTGGAACACTTTAATTGCCTTCAACTGCCTAGGTTGAAAATATAACCTGGAAAGCTGGCTAGCGTTGTGTTCAATTATCACTTCATATTAATATTAGTGTTCGAATGTTAGAGTTTTTAGACCATACTTTTATGGAATATTAATTATTATTATTCTATATTTCGACCAACTTTAATTTCACTGAACCTTGAATGTCCTTCCTTGGCCATTGCTTTATTACTACTTTGGTAAATATGATGATGAGCAGTACGCCAGTACGTTTATTTGCTTCAACTTGTGGGTAAATGCCTAAATGGTTAAACTACGATACTCTAGCTATAATAGTAGCCAGTGTTACAATATATTGTACAATGATCTTTGTATATTATATTAGATATTTATATGCACTCTCAAGCATAATGCTAAAAGCTGCTCCTGGCCTGGTTATTACGAACGCCAGCAGTTAAATGATAATTATGATTCGCGCATGATTGAGAAAAGTGTGTAAGTCGTACCACTTTTTTTTTTTTTTTTTTAATAGACGCACACTTATGTTGTGCAAATATTATGGTATAAATACGTGTAGCATCATATTGTGTTAATTCTATGATCTAGTGGGCTTGTAGCAAACCTTGGAAAAATGTCTATAGTAAATATATAGCATATGTATACTCATCATCAATTCATCATTATATAAGACACATATTTTAATTAAAAAAAAATCATTATACAAGTCTTTAAAATGATGAAAAAAAACGCATTATAATTTATACACATCGTCACTAATAGAGTATAAAATTAAACTATATTCCTTGGCCTCAACCATCAGCTTAAGATTTTGGTTGAGTTGATCCTCTAACATGGTATCAGAGCCAGCGTGACATAAAGGTTACGGGTTCAAATATCATTCAATTCACCCCCACTTTCAATGGATATATTAAGCGCTGGGTATGAAGAAGGCTCATGCTACATCCACACTTCAATTTCAATGGACTCTCATGTGAGAGGGCGTGATAGAGTATAAAACATGCATATTCCTGGGCCTCAGCCATCAACTTAACCTTTTAGTTGAGTTGATCGTCTAACAGTCACGTTGTATATACAAGTTGTAGTTATAAATTGTAATGTGCAATTCTAATTACTCTGTAATTGTTACTATTTTCACGCTTATTTATTTTGCGGCATCATTCTAAAATTATCTACCATTGATCAATCATTTCATTTTTTATAATTGTAAAATGAACAAATTTTCTTTAAAAAATCCGTAAAATAAACAATTATTTTAGATTAATTATCAATAAATTATGTTTGTCAACTTAAGTAATAAACAATAATGTTACTTTAACATAAACAAATTAGGATTATGGTTACAAGATTATACTTGCTACAAAATTATTGTAGCCATTGTAAATTTTTTTAAATAATCTATATTAGATTGAGTGTCTTGTTACCTCAAATTTGAATTGATTGAACTGAATCTATTAAATCACGCGTTAATAGATTAGCCAGCGGATCCCGTAATCTCAAACTCACAACTAAAAGTTACAAGTCATTTTCGTAGTAATTAGCAATTGCTTGGATGAAAAGGGATATATGAGATCAATTGTCATATTAAAGAATTGAAAGAGACTTAAACTATGACTAAGAGACTGCATAATTAAGTTGTGTGCAATCTGTACGGTACATTATCGATCAAAAGTCAAAAGTAAGGTTCGTTGAGAGGATTTTAGATGCAACTTCATGCAATATTACTACTACTCGTACTGCATGTGCATTTGTTTAATCATCAACAATCATCTTGGAAGTTCGGAACGTGCACTTCAATTAGTATTAATGTACTATGACTTTATGTCTAACTGTCTTCGTTGAAAAAAAAAAAAAAAAAAAAATCATCTTAGTTAGCTTTCGCATTGTGCCGCTTATTAAAAGTTTGAAAAACTTGATCTATTTAGTTTACGTACAATTGAATTAGATGCAAGGAGGAAGAGTTACTATATCTCTATGATTAATCACAATCAGAAATGAGCAACTTTTTCAAGAGATTATAACATACTAATGCTATCGCTATTATTAAACTAATCTAGGCTACTAAGCCTAGAATACTATAGAACTAAGAACTACGAATTGAAGCCTAATTTTTCAAAAAAAACAAAAATGAATTGAAGCCTAAAGACATGTAAATTGCAATGTTGATTGTTTGATCGATGTCCTTTATTCTAATGTCCCTTGCAGTTATGCATTGCAGTCACTTCCCACGCTCTTGTGATGGTTATCGCTAGCATCTTTTTTAGTCGGGCCTCATTTCTCCGGTAGTCTTCTTTAGTTTGGATTGCATGATTCTCTTATATTTTGGGCTTTATTGACTCTAAAGTCCGTTGTGGATTGGGCTTGGACCCTAAAGTCAACAAAAATTAAAAATGGGTCAGAATATTTTCTCACTTTTGAGTTGCCTAAAACGCATATATGCTTATTGATTAGCATTTTCGGAAAAAAAAAAAAAAAAAAAAAAAAAAAGTGTTCATTATATTCAAATCAATGCTTTTTACAAAAATCAAATGAAATCGCATTCATCGAAATATAATTATATACATCTTATTTATTTTTGTTTTATTTGTAAATCTAGGATACATGAAGGAAATTAAAACGTAGCAAATGCCGCCAATTATTAGTTGTATCTGTTCAACACATTTTATTGAATCGAATAAGATGAGTCTGTAAGAAATACCAAGTAGAAGAAATAGATTAGAAGTACAAGTAGATACATAAAGCATAGAGCCTATCTTTTTCTTAGATGATTTGAGATAGATCAGAAGTACAAGTTTAACTGTAAGAGGGGATTGTATAGTAAAGGAAATGCGCAAGTTTAGTGTCGAAAGCTTGTAACAGTTGCTAGAGAGAGTGATTAAATGTTGTGCGATATGTTCATCTAACAACCATGTTGGATCAACTTTAATATCTTTATGCTAAGGCTTCTACTTCAACTGCGGCCCAAGTAGGAACAAATAAAATAAAAAATAAAAAAATAAAAAAGGAAAAAAGGAATGTTGATTGCCGGCCAACACACTATTATACTTCAACGCTATTATGTTAAGTTCATATTCAATAAATTTATAAAAATTCCTAAAGCCTATGTAAAAATATATGCGCGCAAGTAAATTAAAAGCTACACCAATTAGAAATGTGAATGCCACGTGTCAATTGAAAAATGTTTTTGTTTCGAACTTGGGTTCATGGGAAATGAATAAGAAATCATACCAACTTTGCTATCTAATAATTTAGTCAATTTATTGTTCTTAAATATATTTAATGTAAACCATGAGAGTGTTTTTCTTTGTACTTTTACATGACAAATTTTTTCTTAAACTAAATCTAAAATAAAAGTATTTAACATATTATGTACATACAAAATATTAAAAGTAGAATTCCGTCTGCATAAAATATAATACATGAAAACACTACTACAAATCCCGCTCTTTTGAGACGCTTTTTTCCATTATTTACGACGTGGAAAAGCGTCGCTATTTTTTTTCTCGACGCTTTACAAAAGCGTCGAAAAAAAGTAAGTCGAGAAATTTGCGACGCTTTTTTGTGTCACAAATCTCGACGCTTTTATACGTCCCAATATTTTGTGACGCTTTTTTGTGTCTGAAATATCGACGCTTATTAACGTCTTATAAAATATACTAACAGTCGAGAAATTCTGTATAAAAGTGCAATCGCCAAATTTCTAGACGCTTTTTCCCGTCTACATTTTGGACGTTGTTTTCTGTCTCAAAATCAATTGAGACGCTTTTTTATGTCCACACAGAAATAGTGGCGGGAAATTTAAAAATGGTTTAAGTAAAATATCTTGACAACAAAAAGCGTCTAGATTTTTTTATACTGTTTTTTTTATATATTACCAATAATATTCTATTATCAAGAGGGCTGCAAAGCTGCAAAAAAAATTACAAACACCAATGATCTAACACCAAAAAATTACAAACACCAATAAACAGCGCAGAGCATGTTCAGCACGTTAATCATAAAACATACAATAAGTTTTTTCAATTAAATATATATAATGATCAATATATATCATGTCCAAAATATCATCATTATTATTACATATATCAACTACCAACTAATTAAAAAGTTAGATTGACGCCTACCTAAGTTAAATACTAACTATAAAATTAAAAAAAAAATTTGCATAGTAGGTTAATTTCCATCTTTAGTAGATTTTCCTTGTTCTCCGGTTGCATTCATAACCTTCAAAAAAAAATATAATATAAGTATAATATAATATTTTGATTGTTAAAGAAATACAACTCAATGAAGATGCAGGCAGCAGCAAGACACAGAGAACAACAACAAAACAAGGAAGATGCAGGCAACAACAAGACACAGAGAACAGCAACAAAACAAGGAAGATGCAGGTAGCAGCAAGACACAGAGAACAGAACACCCCAGCCAGTGTTTGGGTTGGAGGATGACATTTTTGTTTTCTCTGAAAATTAGATTTCAACTCAATAAGATCTGCTTTCGACCTTCATTTCAATTGTTTGGTTACCAGACATATTAGAGAAGATGGGGATCCTTTATGATTCCGAAAAAAGGAGAACTCACAAACCAAACCCTTCCTAACCAAAAGCACACAGACTTGTCAAATATTCGAGCATGTCCTGCTTGGCATTGGATTATCATTCTAAATACTCCAGTCAACTAACACGTAATATCATCTGTTGATTGTTCTTATATCTTGTAGGTGGTCTATTGAAAACATCCTCTCACCTTCCACATTGAACCGAGTTCTTTTACACTCCTTGTTTATGCGCTTCTATATAGTAATGTGTTTTGTATGTACAGAAATAGGCTGGTCTTGAGTACAGTTAGTTAGCTTATTTCATGCCAAACTATGCTCATGTGTCCATTCTCGTGGGTAGACAATTTGTAAGGCGTTAAGGGTTTAATATGTCATTAAGGGAAAAGAATATAGATGATGGAAAGAAAGCATAACTATACAAACATCCTTTAGATTCTGTTACCAACTCAAGTCCTGAAGTGTAATGTTTTTTATGCAGGGATTTATAATTATCAGCGATGAAGAACTAATCATTTCAAGAATTAAGGATCTTGCACCGAAGTTCCTTTGGGATGTGAGTTCATACCAGATGCAGAACAAACAAAATGAAAACGATTTTTCATCAAAGCTTATGCATCATAATATCATATGTTGGGCCTGCTGAAGCTAAAGTTTTTAAATATGAGCTGTAAAAGCTAAATGATTTTTACCAATCTAACTCAAAGAATTAACACACACATATTGACAGCAATGCACAACATCACTCAACAGCAAAAGCATAACTACCAGCAATAACAAAACATATTGACAGCATTAATTTATGAAAATGATGGTTATTCTTAAATTTTATCAGAATAGATAGAAAATGACCTGTTGGTTTGTCACTCCCAAGACTGATTTGGCACAATTAAGAAGTTCTGTTGAACCCTTTCCATCATTAACTCCACCAACAATTTGGGAAAACTGTCCGATAAGGGTTTTAAGAAGAATATTATTCTCTTGTACTTGGTCTTTTAACTTTTCATTTTCCTTCTCAAGTACTTCATTTTTTTTGTGCAAAGCAGACATTTCCTCTTTCACATTACTATCCATTACCACGGTCCTTTGTTTAATTCTTCTAGACCCGTCCTTCCTTAGCAAAGCATGCACCCCGTAAATGTCGCTCTTTCGAACCCCAAGTCCGTAACCTGTAGGACGATCAGGGATCTCTCCACCATGCATGGTCAGCTCAAAGGCTTCATCTTCAAGTTCTTGTTGGGACTTAGAAGGGTTTATCAACCTCAATTGTTCAACTTTAGCTTTCGCATCATCCTATAAAAAACATCAAATAATAATATAGTGAAAGATCGACTCATTTCCGCATAAAATGACAAGCTTTAAAACACATTTAGATCTTTTACCACAAAATCTTCCGTCACTGTGCCCGGAAGAAAACTTCCATCCTTGCCTGTATGAGCTTTTATCCAGAGAGCTAATAAGCTCATCTTTTCTCCATGCTCATCTTCCTATATATATTATTAATGCAAGAAGCATAAGTGAAAATAAGAACAAGATAAGTTCAGAATATAGTAGTTACAATATATGTTTGTAACGTATGCAGATCATTAATAAGAATGGTTAATACATGGTCAGCTTGTTTGTTCGCAAAACTGTTAGAACCGCATCTATGTAATTGATTTAGGGAGGCCCGTGCTGCTTTACCACATGTTGCTAGTGACTGCACTCATATTCAAAGTCATATATAAAATTATATTTGCATTAAGACCAAAATTAACTCTAATTAGAAAACATGATGTCTGATATTTCAAATAGGAAGAAATGTACTTACTTTCCCTTTCTCCGAATCCCAATACTTAAGTAGCTTTACCCAATTTTGACTACTAATCCCATGCGGTGGTGTAGCACTACACATCTCTTCTAAAGTTTTCTCTGTTGGTTTGTAGTAATCCTTCTTAAGATTAAACTTATATTGCCTCCAACTTTTATTAACACGCTTGAGGGCTGCTTTGTTATATAGTTCACCTATGGGAATCACAAAGCGATCCTTATACATGAAAAACAAGTTACTTTAGTAACAGTATTTATAGGTTAGTAAAAATAAATTAATTCATGAATGAAAAAAAAGTTTCTTATGAAAAGTAATATAAAAAAGGAGATACATACTCTCATCTCATTAATTATCATCTTTTTAAAATGCTCATCAATAGCATGCCAATCCTCTTCTCCAAGTGGACAATACGTCTCTATCTTCGCAATGTTACCAAGGAATCGGATTAAAATATGCCCACCTTTTCGGATGGGTTGGTACAGCTCATTAAATTCGACATAAAATCTGACACCGTTATTACTCCAAACATCAATAGGCTGAATAGAACCACTCAAGTATACAACGTTACCATTGGCATCTGCACAAATAAAAAATGAGGAGTACTGACAAAGTAACATTTGGAAAATATATAAACAAGAAAATGAAATAGAACATGTCTAAAAAATTCCGAGTTTCTGACAAAGTAACATTTGGAAAACCTGTAAGCTAATTGCTAATATGTCAAAACAATTTTAGCAATAAAGTACAAAACATTTCATAAAGTAGAATTCGTTTTACAGTAAGGATATATTATGTACTTTCGCCAGGCTATTCAGTTCCTCAATGCCAGTTCCACTTTTGATGACCTACTGCGTATGCTGTTACTCTGTTAGTATCTGACTTTTGTGTGCCTGGAATTCTTTCCCCAAACTTCTCTCTCTATTTTCTTTCTCAACTTTTTCTAATACATTGCAGTCACCATAAGCATGCCACAGCAATACAGCATTGCAGTAGCGACTCACCAAATGAGAAATGCTATCAGCAAAAAATAGAAATTCCTAATTTATTTTCTAGTGCAGAAACATGCAATCAATAATGAAAAGGCAATCAGCATACAAAACACACAATGCAACTATTTAATACACAACTCTTACAAGCATTTCCATGTGGTGAGATATAGTCTTGATGCTACATCATAGAAGCAATATACAAAAAAAAAAAAAAAAAAAGCATGATACTTTACTAAAATTCATAATAAATCATTCACAGAAATAATGGTCTGCTTGCTAAAGCATTGATGTGACAAGAAGCATAATATACTTCAAAATACACACATCTATCTACATACTGAAATTATATAATAAGCAGATTTACATTGACCATAAACAAGTCAATAATATATTCATTAATACGTCAAAACTATCAACCAAAAAAAAGAATTAAGAATATGTAAAAAAAAAATTCAAAAAGTAAACATACCTACTGTCAAGACCTCTTCTTTGTCATCAAAATCATCTACAGTCATAGGCCAATCAGGATGTGACTTTGATCGTAGAGACTTTAATAGTTTTGAGCTTTTTTTTGTTTCCTCACAATTCTTTTCCTCTGTTTCAATATTAACATCTTCTTTTCTGCTTTTCTCATTTGAATTGAGTAAGTTTAAGGAGGAGGGCTGATCAGAATTGAAAGAAGATTTAGAAGGATATTTTAGTGACTTTGATGTAATAGAAGGTGGGATGTTAGGTAAGCTCATGGATGAAAGTGTGGGTGGAGTTTCTTTACCAAAACCTGATGGTTCTTCAGCCACCTTATGAGAACTTAAAGTTGGAGTCTTAAGATTGCCAGGTGCGTTTGATGGGGGTGCGTTTGATGTTGTTGGTACATTAGGTGAAGGTGCCTTATGTGAGTTGTAAGTTGATGCTGGTGCTTTTTGTGAGCTTGATGTTCCAGTTGGTGGGTTTTTCCATATAGCTCCAACTTTGTTATCTTTCATAGGCATTTGTGCACTTGTTGATGTATTCAAAGATGGAGGTACAACCTTTACTTTAGTGGCAGCTGGTGGAGAAAACGGTCCCCATTTAACAGTTGTCGTTGGGACTTGGGACGTTCGCTCATTAGCTTGTTTTTTGGTTGGTTGTGAATCATGTGTTGCATCTCCACTCATATATGCACGAGGGGCAGTAGATGCAGCCCTTTCTCTTTTTAATCGATAAGTCATACCTACATGACCACAGGATAAGAACATAACAGCTACTAAGTATTTTATATTTCTGATTTGTAGATTTCACAGGATACAAATGTTTCCAGCACATTTACAGAATCAAACAATACATTCTTGATTCAATAAATTCTTAGAATATCTTACTATGAAGCACCATAAGGACCTCGGTTTCAGACTTTCGGGCAGAATAATAGGCTTGAACTGGATCTTCCTGAGCACTACGTTTTAAACTTAGCAGAATTTAAGACCACCAATACCCAAATCTATAGTACACTAAGTTCAAACAAAACTAGTGTCACAAAATGTAAAAGATAAACAAACAATTCAAGATATAAACTTTAAGTACCTGAACTACAGCCTTCTCACCATCAACTTCCAAAACTTGACCTCTACGAGTTGATTCGTCTCCTAAACAACTATTCACGATTTCTTGAAATCTAGGTCCCTGTCAGAAATAGGCACACAATTCATACGAAATGTAAATTTAACAGTAAAAAAAAGTAAAATTGATCCAGATATATATTAATTGGGACAAGAAAAATAATATGAAAGACACCAGACTTACCTTAACCTTCTCCAGAATAACTAGTGGTCCTGCAACTCCTGAGACTGTTCTAGACTGTTCTGTACTCTGCAGAAATTAAAAATGTAACTTAGTAATTCGATAACAAAACGGGCTATCAACATCACACAGTTCATTCTCTTCCTTTTTCACAAATCACACACAACATAATACTAAGTAATAAATAGCTCATGCCATGATCATAAAACTAACCATAAAGGTTATACTACATTGTCATTTTGACTTCTTATTTTACTGAGCTCGTAATCCCGACAACTTAAACATTAAGGTAATAATTGTTAAGTCCCTATTATAAGATCTAGGGCACATCAAGCGAGTATGGCTAGAACATAAATCCAAAAGCAAATATCATACTCATATGATCAAATGTATCATGTAAACTAAAGAATCAAATAATACAATGTTATTCTAAAAGCTCTTCATCACTTGGTATATCAAACAAGTCCCTAGGCTTAGTCTTAATAACATGAAGCCATCCTTTTTTAATCTCATCTTCAATGTAAAGAACTTGCTTGGTTTGTGATGAGAAAATAAATGGATCGTCATGTAAATTTCGACCAGTGTGCATCAACTTTGAAAAATTGACACAAACACCACCATTTGGGTATGTTTTGAACACCCCTCTGTACATCAACCCATTCACAACGAAACATTATACCCTTAAAAGAACCATAATAGTCAAATTCCAATATTTCCTTGATTTTTCCATAATACTCTTGGCCTTCGGCTTCTACCATGATTCCAGAATTTTGTGTCTTTCGGAATCTCTCACGATCCATAGTATCAAATTTGTAACCATTGATCACCACACTTTTCATCCTTTTTACCCGGTTACTTAAACCACCGGCTAAGGACTTTCTCATTTTTCCTTCTGTTGTGCTATCATCTAGATTATTGACCTATAATTCAAAAAAAAAAGTTACACATAGATTAGTTATAAAAATAAATAAGATAAATTTTCCCCGTTTTAAAGCATATAACCTGGTTTTGCAACCAATCAACGAACTCATTGATTATCCACTGGCTTTCAATACTCTTATTCAACTGCCTTCTTCCGACTTGATTCTCTTGTTGCCATTTTTGTTCTATGAACTCACTTTTAAAAGTGGACAATTGTGTTACTACATAGTTAAAAGTAATTATACTCTAAAATTGCTTATAGTACTACTTACTCAAGCACTGGCTTTATCTCATCTGAATGAAGCAAAACATAGCGATGCGCTTGCTTTAAACTTTCGTCATCAAGACGAACATTATCTTTCTTTCCAAGTACACGACCACCAGAATTGTATAAATAAGTATAAAAGTTTGGAACACCATCCTCATTCCTTTTCGGTCTGCTAAATATCGTTTCAACACTTTCTAAATATCTTGAGCAAAATGTAATTGTTTCCCATAAAAGGTACCCTTCTGCTATAGATCCTTCAGGTTGTGCTTTATTGCTTACATGAGATTTCAAAAAGGCTAAATACCTTAAAACAAAAGTTATATATGTTAATGATATTAAAAAAAAAAATAATGTGTGTTAAGTTTTCTTATATAAGAGTGAATATTGAGATATATAGATATTAACCTTTCAATGGGATACATCCATCTATAATGAACTGGTCCGCCGAGTTTTACCTCATCCACTAGATGAATGAGCAAATGAACCATGATGGTGAAAAATGTTGGTAGAAACTCTATCTCCATTTTACAAAGAGTTAACACAAGCTTGTTTTGAATGGAACCTAGTTCTTCAATGTCAATAGCGGGTGAACATATCTTCTTGAAAAAGTACGACAACTCCTCAAGCAAGTCAATGGCTTTTGTGGCATTTGATGCTCTTAAAGCAACTGGAAGGATATCTTGCATAAGGATATGGATGTCATGGCTTTTCAAATTAATAAGTTTTCGCTGCTTCAAATGGACACATCTCTGTAAATTAGACCCATATCCATCAGGAACTTTATGTCTTTTAACACTCTTAGAAATCGTTCCTTCTCTTCATTAGACATGGTGTATGCAGCTGGAGGCATATATTTTTTAGCCTGATTAGGATGAGATTGAAGCCAAAGATGAGGTTTAATGTTTTTCTTCTCAAGAGCCTTTCTAGCTTCTGGATCATCTATACTTTTATCCATATCTAATAGAGTTCCTAATAGATTGTCACACACATTCTTCTCAATGTGCATTACATCTAAATTATGTCAAAGAAGATTATGTTCCCAATATTCCAATTCAAAAAATGCACTTTGCTTACGCCATATAACATCATCGGCATCAGCTTGATAATCATCATCAATATCTGTTGTTCCTCTATTTTTCCTTTTGTTAGAAGCTTTTTTCGAGGTTCCGTAAACATACTTAACCTTTTCTTGCTGCTTCAAAACATCGGTCCCACTTAAAGGGATTGGAGCAAGACCGTACTCTTCTTTCCCATCAAATAATTGAGCTTCAGAACGATAAGGATGATCAATTGGCAACCATTTTCGATGTCCAGGGAAGACAATTTTACCACCAAATCTATATGAATTAGTGGAATCAGCACAAGAAGGGCAAGCTTTATAACCTTTGGTACTCCGTCCCGACAACATAGCATATGCAGGGAAGTCATTTATTGTGGAGTGTAAGGCCGCTCGCATGTTAAAAGATTTTCCACTGTAAGCATCAAAAGCATTTACACCTTTCCACAACAATTTCAAGTCATGTATTAATGGTTGCAAGTATACATCAATATCAATACCAGGACCATATTTACCGGGAATAATCAAGGACAAAATGAAAGATGATGACTTCATGCAGAACCATGGTGGAAGATTGTAAGGAATTAAAACCACTGGCCATGTACTGTAATTGGTATTCATTAAACGATATGGATTAAAACCATCACTAGCTAATCCCAATCTAACACTGCGAGGGTCGGCAAAAAATTCGTTATATTTTTCATCAAATTTTTTCCAAGCAACACCATCTGCAGGGTGCCTTAGGATCTTATCATCCTCACGGTTAAAATGCCATCTCATATCCTCTGCTGTTTTAGAAGACATGTAAAGCCTCTTTAGTCTAGGTATGAGAGGAAAATATCGCATAACTTTAGCTGGCTCACCTTTCTTAACTGATTCATTCCCTTTTTCAATTTTGTCACCCTTCTTTCCTTTCATAGTTTTCCACCTTGATGTATGACAAATATGACACTCAATTTCATCAGCAAATTCCCCCCAATATAACATGCAATCATTTGGACATGCATGGATTTTTTCATATCCTAATCCCAAGTCTTTGATTATTTTCATCCCTTCATAGTAAGATGATGGAAACTCTTGAATATGAGGGAATGCGTCATTTAGAAGTTCAATCAATTTATTAAATGACTCAGCAGACCAATGAAACATACACTTAAGGTGAAACAGATGTAAGAGAAATGATAACTTTGAGAAAGTAGTACAACCCTCATATAAACCCTCGTTAGAAGCTTCCATGAGACGTTTATACTTTTCCATTTCTTCATTAGTGTTACTTGAAGGCATTTCATCATCTACCTCACAATGAAAATCACTCTCTTCATGCATGTCATATGAACCTTCCTCATCAAAATTCGTTTCATTGGATGATGGGGCTTGGAATTCATTAGTGGATTGTGGAATGTGAACCCCGAAAGCCGCTCTTAGTAGCCCATCCATATCATCTCGATCTACTTCCTTCCCATGATCACTAGGGGGCTTTAAGGTTTTACTCCCTTCACCCTCACAATGGAAAATCCATTTTCTATAATTCTTATAAAAGCCGTTAAATAAAATATGGCCTCCTACTTCTTCTAAAAGATGTCATTTATTTAACTTACACTTATTACATGGGCATTTGGTTTTTCCATCAATAAGAGTCTCCTTAGCAATCTCTAAGAATTTCATGCAACCCTCATAATAGGCAGATTTTCCTTTTGGTAAATCAATCCAACTAGTATCCATATCTACAATGAATTCATAATAAAATTTAATATTTAATAATTATTAATAAGTATCAATAATAAGTTGTCAATAATTTGGTAATAAATATTATAAATGTTATAATTAAGAAGAGTGTAACAACATATTCCATCACTTAGGTTAATTTTAGCAATACTTTACCAAGGTTTCCCCTTCTATAGCTTTTATATGCTGTTATCATTGTGGTTGGAGACAAAATGCAATCAAAGTGATCAAACATAATAATACATGGAAGCATTCACAAAAAAATAGATACATATACGTATTAATTTAATATAATTAATAAGCACATAGATAAGACATAATGAATTATATATAATATAATACCTCACTACAGATCTACAACTTAATTACTTACATTTTTCATATATGGTCAATATCATAAATTGAGCTAAAACTATTTTGGGAGGGCTATCTACCATACATATGACACAAAAATATAATATACAATTATATGACATATAAGATAATTTAGGAATTTGGGTAGTTACCTCGGCCAACTCGCTAAGTGCAGCAACTATCACAATTAGAACAATTTTTAGATAAGCTCCTCCTCTGTCACCTATTAAACACAAAAACACAACTTCAAATTTTAAGATATGTCATAAACACCACTAAAACCACCCATTAGTCGCAAATTGTATAGATTTTCACACACTAGTGTAAACAACAATCTAAGACTACCTTTGAAGTAGTCCTACTAACATTGTATTTCCAAAAATAAACTCGGTATCATAAGCCTAACTACGACAGTGCAACCAGTCACTTCACAAAAGTAGCCAACAATTGGCAATAATTCACAAGTACATGGACAATTGTACCTAGCATAAGACCTTTCTCAATCTGCCTTCCTTCAAAAGTTATGAACAATCTGCCTATTTCAGAGTAATAGAACTCAACTAAGATTTATTTTCTGTACACATATCAGCATATAAAATGTTATAGAATCCAATTATAAAATGCAACTTACTGCAAGGGGCCATGACGAAATCAGTGAGATAAGAATTAAGGCAGCAATAAGTTTTTTTTTTCCCTTTTTTTGACAATTGCTAAGAGAGAGCATCAAGTTGCTGCCAAATAACATTAAACAAAATTTTCTTTGTGCGTATGACAAGTAACCATAATTTAATAAAAGTTTTCTATGTATATCAACCATAATTTAATAAAAGATTATCTTGTTAGGCATAAAAATAGGTGCAGGAACCTCTATAGATTTCAAATGGCTAAAATATATATACATTATCCTACTAGATTCTGTGCGGACCAAATCTGCTAATTTATGGGGAGCCAAGTTTAAAGTACCAAAACACTTTCGAAAACATTAACTAGAAGAATAGGCTATCCCACATTCCCACCCTTCCTTACATCAAGGATTACAAAGGAAACAAAAGAGGAAGGACAGGGTTGTGTGAGGTAGTAGGATGAACATATAAGCCAACGCAAATCTTTAGCACTTATGCTAGCTATCAAAGTTAAGTACACATTCAACGGAATCATACTAACAAAGGGAAAAAAAACTACAAGCTTCCATGAAGTTGTACATACATCAATACACACAATCTCTTGCACCCTTGATAAATAATCTTAACAAAGGACATAGAAGGGAGCTGACAATGATTCAATTCCACAGGCTAGGAATGATAAATAATCATTGACACTCCACTCCTGCACTCACATAGCATGTGATGGGACACAAAAGCACAGTACTAAACTACTAATTGCTTCTTAATTCTTACAATCCAGTCACAATCACACATTCATCAACATATAACACTACTGTAAATCACACATCTATCTGAATCTTTTTTAATATCCAAAGGTAAATTTGAGACTATCTTCCTATATCTGACCAAGCAAGGGTATAACAAACAAAATAAGAATTCGGCTCCCCCTTTGGCTCAAGACTCTGAAGTTGTGCCTTCATCCCAATAACTAGAAACTCCACTTGTCTACTATAGAGAAAGAGATACATAGAGATTAAGTGGAGAGATAACTGACACGCTGACAAGGTCAATAACCAGGGCAACACATCTCCTGTCTAGGGCAGCGCATGAAAGACAGAGCTCACCAGACAGCCATAGGAAAGACAAAGCATGGGCAGAGAAGACCTGGGCCCATTCGACATCTTTTCCATAAAAAGGAAGCTCTGGCAACACAGGCTTAGCAACAGACAAAGGCAACAAGATGCTTATATAGGCCGTAAAGATAATTAGCTAAATGTATGTAAATAAACGGAAACAAAGTGAGGCAGTAACACACAGACACAACAAATATTGAGAAGCCTATAACGGTGGCTAATGACAGGAGGCCTTGTCAGAAACAGCATTTCCCAATTAAATGTCGTTAGCATTATTTTGATCAAAACCATTTTAGATATTTGCAAAAAGATGATAATATAGCTACTAAGAATTCTCTATCTCAGACAGTGTTACTGGTCACGTTACAGAACAAGCGTTTTTAATGGACATATTGGTACAAAAGATGTTGAATGTGGAGAAAATACAGATAGTTGACACTGAAGCAGAAACTGCAAAATGGTAGAGCACGATGACTCTGTATGCAGTAGGTGACGATCCCAGAAACCCCAAATAAAATTAAAATTTGACAAAATTAATACAAAAAATCAACAATTCAATAAACATAATCAACCAAAAAAATACCAATCAATAATAAAAAGTATTATTTAAAAAAAAAAATTAGACCATGACCTGTGATATAAATTCTTCACTTCTCTGCGTGGGTGGTTTCGAAATCCCATTAGCAAAAAGAATTCCCATACATGCAACGAATAAACAAAAATTCAGCATAAGCAACGAAATTGATAACCAAAACCTACGAAATTGATATATCAACCAAAACCTACGGAAAATTGATGACAAGAGCGAGAGGATTACCGAAAATTGAAGAAAATATTGAAGAGAGCAACGAAAATTCAACAATTTCGAGTGGTTTTAGAGATTAGATGAGAGTGATTGTGCGTGAGCAAGCATAGGGTTCGTTGTTGGGAGCTAAAGGGTTTTTTTTTATTTCTTCTGACTGCTAACTGCGTATGAATGGCGGTTTATTTTTTATTTTTTATTATTTTTTTTTTTGGTTTCATTTAATTAGCCCGCTTTTTTTCCTCTGAAATTTGAAGTCCCGGGATATAGACAGTCACGTGCATATCACATGTATTTTTTTCGACGCTTTTATGTGTCGAGATCTAATGGTGACGCTTAAAAGCGTCGAAAAAACACGGAAATAATTTTTTTGGCTAACGCTTGATACATGGCGTCGAGCACATAGCGTCCAGAAACTAAGGGATTTGTAGTAGTGAAAGTATAATACATTAATATTTATTAACGTATTGACCCGGGACATGGTCCAGGCTAAACACTAGTTTATATGATTAAGATTATGAGGTGCTTTATTTACCTTAATTTGTTTGTATGCTAACAATCTCTTGATTTATTTGTGTGCGCATATTTATATAGATTTTCATCATACGTAGAAGACTTTTTTTATTGACGCATTGTGTTCATTTATACATAATTTTATATAAATTAAACAATAGGTGCTAAAACACAAAAGGTGTATTTTATTGATCTAATTTTCACTTATCTGAAATTTCTAAACATAACTAGTGAGCATTAAGTTACTTATGATTCTTCACTTGTACGTATCCGAAATTTCTAAACATGACTTGGATGACCTTTTATATATTTATATATATCTACCCTAATTTAATATACCTAATTACCTAAACCTTTTTATTTATCAAAACTCACCTTTCAAAACAAATCCAAAATTCATTTTCCCAAGCTAAAAATAACTAAACTCGCTACAATTCCCCTAATAAGTGACTTTATATATATATATATATATATATATATATATATATATATATATATATATATATATATATATATATATATATAGGGGAGGGATCCGGTAAGAACCCCTCCTTATATAAGAACCCTAGTTATATAAGAACCAATCTCAGCCGTAGGATTAAGGTAATTTAGACGGTTAAGATTAAAACACGTATTTTTCCTTATACCCTCTACCAACCGATCAAAATTTTCTCTCTCCTCTAACTTTCTCTCTCTTCGTGTTCATCACATTCTCTCTCTGCAAACCCCAAAAATCTCCATAGAAATTGCATATGAAGGATTTTCGACTCAGGTTTGTTTTTTTTTTCGATTTTGTTCAAATTTCCATGAACTTAGCATGATGTTCATAGATTTTGCGATTTTTTGATTTGATTTTTGCGATTTTATGTTTCCGATTTTTTGATTTGATTTTGCGATTTTGTGATTTGATATTTGCGTTTTTCTGTTTTGATTTTAATGAATTTCGCATGGAGTTTGATTTTTTTGAGTTCGATTTTTTCAAATTTCGCGTTCGAATTTAGGGTTCTTTTTTTGCGGATTTAGGATTCTAATTTAGGGTATTCAAATTTAGGATTTAGGATTCAACACACAACAAACCGCTTGTTTTCTCTCTTTTTTGTGCAATAGTGTGTATAGCACAATGATTATATTAGTGGCTTTGCAGCCATTTTTCCCTGCTTATATTCATTGCTGTAATGTTCTGTATCAATTTTGATTCATTGATTAAATATATCAGGTTTTGGGTAATTAAACTCGTGTTATTAAAATTGAAAAACATTTATTTTTTTCCTTTTTTTGTTGGTCATTAGTTCAGTTCATAGCAGTAGTCATCCAAATTATGGTGTAACAACTACTTGTGTATAATGCCTACCTCGATACACTCAAGAATAAGAATAAGTTCTGTTAAAAATTGTTTGTTAAGTAAACAATTCAGGCTAAACAAAACTTTTAAACTCGATTAATGAGCAAGCATAGCTTGAACAACTTGGCATTACTTGTTCTGCTTGCATCAATTCGTCATGTCTAAAAACAAATCTGGCTTATTATCTATGTTCTATTTTTTCTTATTTTTGCGGATCTATAGTTCGAATTTAGGGTTCAATTTTTGCTGATTTTTTCGAATTTTGATTTCGAAATTGGTGATGTTGGTGCGATTGCCCCTGCTTGTAGGGGTTGTGGTGTGGTGGTTGATTTATGCAACAGCAGCTAATTGGTTAGGGGTTGTTGGTTGTGAACTTGTGATTGCAGGGCTGAAAATAAACTTTAGAACATAGGTAGAAAAAATTTGGAACATAGAAAAAAATTAGAACATAGGTTGAAATAATTTAGAACATGGTGTTGATCTTTCCACGTTGTTCTTGTCGATATGTTTATAGAATGTCAATGTTATGATCTAAAATACACTTTTAAGATACGCAAGCAACTGACATAGCTTAGCATGTTCTAAACTCTTTTTAAGCATGTTCTAAACTCTTTTAGAACATGGTGTTGATCATTGTGGAAATATATGAAGTAACCAGCATTATTCGTTCAACACTTCTGGTTATTCTCCATTTTGTTTTATGGGAAGTTTTGAAGCTACATGTGGTGCTCTTCCATTCTGGTCTAGACTGGTCCTCTTCTCTTTTGTGAACTATAATGATTTGGTGTTGACTGTTGTTGCCTAGCTGGGTTTGCTCTTTTCTGTTTCTTGCTCCTATCTGTGTCCTGCTCCAGCTTTCCTGCTTTGTGCTGTTATGTGCAGCTGTTGCTTGGTGTGCAGGCTGGCTTTCTCTGTTTCAGGCTGCTGTTTGTGGTGCTGGTTCAGGCTGTGATGCCTGCCTTGCTGTGTGTTGCTAGCTATTTCCTGGTGCTGCGGGTGCTGTTCTTGGTGTTAGCAGCCTAGTCTCCTGCTAGCTGCTGTTTCTTTGTGCTGTGTTGCTGTCTGGTGCTGCAGCTGGCCTTCTGGGCTCGGGTTGTTGCTGTTGTCCGTTTGGTGGTGCAGCTGGTCTGCTGAGGTCTGTTTCTTGTTGCTGCTGCTGTTGTAGGTTGGTGCTGCTGGTTCCACTTGCTGCTGCTGTTTCTGCTTGCTGTTATTGCTGTTTCCTGTTTTTGTTCGGGTTTTTTTTGGCAGTTTCTAGGCGTTGGTGTTTTGGTTTCTATTTGTTATTTTATCTTTGGCCTTTTCTTTTGTTCCCCATTTCTGGCAATAATAAAGAGTATAGTTCATTCTATATTATGGGACTGCTTTAGCCTTCATTTTTGTGTCGTCGATATTCTTCGCATTCAACTGTCTTGTTTTGGTAGGACAATAAGCTGGTGCATTCGAAAGTCTGAGCCTCTTATTGGAATTCCAATGGTTAAGGTGATGACTTCCCGTCTTGGGTCAGTAAACACAATGAACTGTCAATTAAACTTTCAGTTGTGTGTTGCAGGGATTATGCTCATTCAGGAGCGGCATGTTTAATTATGCTTAACTAAACCTAGATTATGTAACGGTAATGACACGATTGGAGCATTGTCTCATATTAGGGAAAGGTTAATTCACGGCTAACCTTTGATTCAAATACACCTAATTCCTACATTGAGTGCCGTTACTTACTCGTTACATTCTACTATCCCAAATTTTGCACAAATTATTGACATTGTTACTAATAAAACTTTAGAACATAGTTAGTAAAAATTTAGAACATAGAAAAGAAAAACAACTTTAGAACATAAGTAGACTAAATTTAGAATATAGGCAAAAGAATTTAGAACATAGGTAAAAGAATATTTAGAACATAGGAAAAAAAAAAACTTTAGAACATAGGTAGAAAAAACTTTAGAACATAGGTGTAGAATATACGAACAACTTTAGAACATAGGAAAAATTTGGAACATAAGAAAATGATTTGCAACATAGTAAAAATTTAGAACATAGGAATATAGAACATTGGGAAAAAAAAAAGATCATAGGAAAAAAAATTGGAAATTTAGAATATTGGGAAAAAAAAAAAGAGCATAGAAAATAAGTTTAGAACATATACTAAAAATTTAGAACATACGGTGAAAAAAATTAGAACATAAGGTAAAAATTTAGAACATATGATAAAGTTTAGAACATAGATAGAAAAAATTTAGAACGTACGGAAAAAAAATAGAAAATAGGTAGAAAAAATTTTGAACATAGGATAAAATTTAGAGCATACAGAAAAAATTTAGAGCATATGAAAAAAATTTAGAACATACGAAATAAATTTAGAACATAGACAAAAAAATTTGAATATAAGATATATATTTAGAACATGGACAGAAAACTTCAGAACATAAACAATAAAATGTAGAACATAGGAAAATAGTTTAGAACATACATATATTTAGAGCTTAGATTGAAAAATTTAGAGCTTAAGCAATAAATTTTAAAACATATGCAAATAATATTTAGAACATATGATAAAACCTATTAGTTCAATTGGAAGAGCATTATGCAAATGCATAGAGGATGTAGGTTCAATTCCTTCATAGGTTATCTTTATAAATAACTAAAAAAAACTTCAAATGTTTTTTTTTAAAAAAAAAATCCAATAAAACAAATTAAATTAGCACTAAGTTATATGAGCAGAAAATAAGTAGACTAAATTTTGAACATAGGAAAAAAAAAACTTTAGAACATAAGTAGACTAAATTTAGAACATAGGAAAAAACAAATTTAGAACATAGGTAAAAGAATATTTAGAACATAAGAAAAAAAAAAAACTTTAGAACATAGGTAGTAAAAATTTAGAACATAGGAAAAAACAAACTTTAGAACATAAGTAGACTGAATTTAGAACATAGGCAAAAGGTAAAAGAATATTTAGAACATAGGAAAAAAAACTTTAGAACATAGGTAGAAAAAATTTAGAACGTAGAAAACAAAACTTTAGAACATAAGTAGACTAAATTTATAACATAGGGAAAAAAAATTAGAACATAAATAGACTAAATTTAGAACATAGGAGTAGGCAAAAAAATTTAGAACATAAAAAAAGAATTACAGAAATGCCATTACTAAAGAAACTTTAGAACATAGGTAGTAAAAATTTAGAACTTAGGAAAAAAAAACTTTAGAACATAAGTAGACTGAATTTAGATCATAGGCAAAAGAATTTAGAACATAGGTAAAAGAATATTTAGAACATAAGAAGAAGAAAAAAAACTTTAGAACATAGGTTGGAAAAATTTAGAACATAGGAAGAAAAAAAAAAAAAAAAAAAAAAAAAAAAACTTTAGTATATAAGTAGACTAAATTTGGAACATAGAAAAAAAAAATTAGAAAATAGGTAGACTAGATTTAGAACATAAGAGTAGGCAAAAAAATTTAGAACATAAAAAAAGAATTACAGAAATGTCATTACTAAAGGATGGTTTTAGATGGTTGGATCAAAACTAATAAATGGTTGAGATTGGTTCTTATATAAGATTGAGTTCTTATATAGAGGAGGGTTCTTACATGAGCCTTCCTCTATATATATATATATATATATATATGTGTGTGTAAATAAGGGTGTTATAATGAGAAGGATGAGATTACACCTTCTGAAGCCTTCGCTGATTTCTATGATCCTCGCAATTGTCTACAGCATATGCACATCTATTGATTCATTATTATTATTAATTTTTTTTTTATGGCAGAATATTAATTGGTTCATTATTGGTACAATGTTTGTAAGTCCTCTTAATTTCTTCTCAATAGAATATCTTTATTAATTTAAGATTTCCTCCACACTAATCAGTAATCAATTAGTCATATATATCTTGGAGCTAGTCTACCTTTAAGTTCTATCATGTAAAACAACATCTAATTAAATCAAAGTCTAATAAGAATTCATATCACTGTTTTTAATATTCTTATATCCAATCTTCAACCAAAAAAAAAGGAAAAAAAAAAAAAAAAAAACCACCAAATAAATTTGTTAAATTAAATCATATAACAATCCATATGCATCCTTTTGTAATTTAATGATGGAGATATATATTGAATCCTTAAGGCTACATGTCTCTATTATATAAGTGAAAGAGAGGCTATGGTGTTCGCTTAAAAAGACTACTACAACACCCCTCTTCTTTTAAAATTGGAATAATGTTAATTTGAAAAAAAAAATAAAAAAAATAAAAAAAATCAATCAGCTAAGTAAAAAGGAAAAATTAATCAATCAATAATGAATTAAGTCCAACAATAAATATATGTATTACATTATTCATCATTTTATGTCTATATAATCAGTTAATACATAATTCTAAATTTTAAATCAATTAATTAATTTATACAATTAATAAAATCATATTCCCTAAATTATTAACTTAATTATGATTATATATTAGTAAATTTGATATTGTTATATACTCCACATTAGTATTGATTGATGATCATATATCGACAACGAAAACCTGACAACATAATCAAGCTCATAATTAGATTGTTATTCGGGTACTAAATCCAACTTTCGTTTTTTTATCTTTAACATTCTTTTCATTATATAAACTTTCGTTTATATATAATTAGATTGTTAGTCGGGTATCAAATCCAACTTTCGTTTTTTTTTTTTATCTTTAATATTCTTTTCATTATGTGTGAAAAAATCATAATAAATAGTTAAATTATACTAATACACGCATCGCGTACATATAGTGCTAGTAAGCATTTAACGCAAAATTATACAGAGTACTCCCGCATTCCTTTTTTTTTTTCACTGTTCATTTTAGGTTTTCTCTTTTATTCTTTTTGTTTAAAAGATTTACTTTTATATTACAATTATTACCTTATTTTTCCACAAAACTTGTGCCCCTATTTTTTTTTTTTTTTTTTTTTATGCAATTGTGCATTTGTGGCCCTATTAATTATATATTTATTTTATTCGCTTTGTTTTTCTCTTTTACTTTGTGCTTTGAATTCAAGCCACATATTTATTTCTTCTATCCGTAAAACTCCTTTCTCCTTTCCACAACCAATTTGCAATTTCAAAAGACATTTATTGTCTAATTGGTGATTGATGTGTGCTATAGTATCTACTTTTTGTTAAATAATAATTAAAGTATACGAACTAGAATCTTATTCAATTTAATTTTTCTTTTATCACTGTACATAATACCAAATTTAAAAAAGAAAAAGGAATGGAGTACAAAGTTGAAAGTTCACAATAAAATTACACGTTAGATCGGTGTAATTAAAACTTAGCTATTCTTAATAGTTACTTTTATAGCTTCTATATCATTTTTCATAAAAAAAAATTAAAAAAATTAAAAAAAAAATTACAAAAATAAAATTAGATGATATGTTCCCGGCCCATAGACTGTGCGCGTTGACCTGGTGGAAGTTGGAGATGAGGCCAATTTTTTAAGCTACGGTAGGTTCTCTTCTTAAGTTGCCTTAAATTAGACAATGACATGATATGCAAACAACATCCATTTGTATAACTCCTTATACTAGTAGAAGTATTTCTTTTAGCTGTTTGCACCTTTCGTTTCTTTTACTTGTATTAATTTTGTAAATTTCCAATAACGGAGTACATCTTTAAGATGTACGAAGTATATAGACAAGATTGTGTATAAGTGTATGACTATGTTCTTACAAATTAAAATCCTTAGATATTGAACCAACTGAACTTATTGTATTAGGGTATTAAGTTGTGTTAGATTGTAAGATGTATCAATTAGAAGAATAGACTATATATAGACGGCGTCATGTGCTGATATTCGGATAACGAGGATAGAACTACCTAATTGGCTAATTGCATGGAATTACAGATTACATTCAATTCAAGTATAAGAAATGTAACAATAATAAATGGGAGATTATATTGATGAACAATTGAACATACACTAACACTTTTCAAGTGTATCACTACAAAGCTAAAGCAAAGCACCAATCAGGAACGCTTAAAGCACTTGTTGACAGTTACATTACATGCAATTCATTCTTAAGTACATGACGATATAAGACATGATCAATAAGTAAATTATTAGTACGAATACTAGGGTATTACTTAGTAATAAGCGTAGTATTGTATGTAGGCCTTGTGATTTTTAATTTTGGTGGAATGTGTTCAAGGAAATCCATGTCCAAGTCCTCCACCAGCACCAGCACCTCCACCAAATCCAGCTCCGGCACCACCACCAAGCCCGCTACCGAGCCCACCGCCTCCACCACCTCCAAACCCTCCACCACCACCTGCTCCTCCACCCAATCCACCACCAGCTCCAGCTCCTCCTCCGGCTCCAAACCCAGCACCGCCACCAGAACCACCACCTAGACCACCTCCACCACCTCCGCCAAATCCTCCACCACCTCCACCTCCAAGTCCACCACCAGCTCCTCCACCAGCACCAGCACCACCTCCAAATCCAGAACCACCTCCAAGACCGGCACCGCCACCAAGTCCACCTCCGCCTCCACCACCAAATCCTCCACCACCTCCACCTCCTAAGCCTCCACCATGATGCCCGAAAAGAAACTTCTCATCATCATAGGAGTGAGTGGTAGCTAGCTTCCTAGCACTAGCTGTGTAAACTAGTGCACCAAGAAACAAACACAGGAAAACCTTGGAACAAGTCATCTTTTGTATTAGGGTTTATTTTCTAAATAGAATGTTTGATGACTTGCAATGAGAAGTGGAGAGCTGCCAAAGGGGATTATATAGCGATAGATTTGACTAAAGAAACTGCGCAAGTTGTGTTGCAAAAAGGTTGGAACGGTTGAGAAAGTTCTCAATCATTAATGTACATGTTCATATAATAACCGTGTTAGGTCAACTTTAATGCTTTCATCTACTTTATTTGATATAAAAACTTGATGAAAAAAGCTAGCAAATTTAATCTTTGGACGACCATAAATTTTTAGTATGTTGATCTTCCACACTTTTCTTTCACCTTTAATAATCATTATTTTTTGCATGTCCATTTCAACATTAATATTTGTCTCATATGATGCCTAAGTTCCAAGCTATTTTCTCATGACAGATACAAGCTCCCTCCGCTTGATAATGGGTTATTCACTTCGATTTTGCAATAAGTATATGCACATCTTCTACTATTGATATTTTAAATCACGTATAATTGAAAATTACAAAAAAAAAAAAAAAAAAAAAAAAAAAAAAAAAAAAAAAAAATCTAAAATTACACCAAGATAAGATGAATCTACTCATTCTAATTTATTTTTTTCCCATATACTTCCTCTATTTTTATTTACTTGTAACACATCACCTTGCCACACACTTTAAGGGAGATATTAGACTATGTAAACAAACAAACCAATTGACAAAATTTTATCATCGTCAAGATGAAAGTGATAAGTAACAACAGTTTAAATTTTCTAGCTTAATTTTTCTATTTACCTAGTTTATATACTTCCTCATATAACGTACCAAATAAGTGTGTTGTTAAAAAAAATAAAAAAAAAAAAAAAAAAAAAAAAAACAGTGAAAATATAATTAATAAAATACATACAATCAAACCTATTTTATTTTGACCAAGCACGTGAATAGTAATTGAGTTGTACACACTATTAGAAACTCATTAAACTCCATTTTTGAGTGTCACACCTTTGAGAAAGAGGAGAAATGGTAACAATTTATTATTAATTCCATTATATGGTGTAAATGTGTAATTGGTTCCTGGATGAAGGCATAGGTGAGTAAGTTGCAGCGACACAGTAGTGGGGAGGTTTACTGTGTCATTTTTCAAAAAAAAAAAAAAAGGCACCATAACATGATGATGTGTCATGTTATGTTTGGTCAATTTTTGATTTATTTTTAAAAGCTTAAATGTACTATACATGTGTGTATAATTGTAAATACATGTATTTTTTCAAAGAATACGTAATTATAGTATTTTAAAATCTATTTTTATCTTTTTAAAATCATTTTTGAAAAGTAAATTATAATTAAAATTTAGAAAATAAATTCATTATTGTTCTTCATTCATGATCTTAAATTAACCACCCCAAAATCTTGTATAATCTATTCGGAACTCAGACCAAAATTCCGTCCAAAGATCGGATTTATTGGGTTTCGAATCTGTTTGCATGATTTGTGTACAAATTTCATTTTAGGGTACAAAATCACATAGTAGTACCATTTTGGTACAAAATCACATATATTGGTACAAAAAATTTGATACAAAAATCACATATTTTGGTACGAAAAAAAATAAATTAATTTTGATACAAAAATGTGATTGCTTGGTACTATTGTGCGAGTTTGTGGCTCGAAGACTTCCCCAGGCAGCAGGTATAGTGATTGCTTTGTGTCACTCTAAATTTACAAAACAAATATACAAGTATATACTTTCAAAAGAACATGCAATATGTCAATATTTACCCTTCATTAATTATAAATCACTTATGCTCTCAATAATATAACATTTTCACTTAAACCAACTATAAAGCTAGTAGCTGAATGTTATTGGTATAACTGTATAAGTAATACTAGTCTCAAGTAAATAATTTAATCAGCAAAATAATTCAAGCTAGCTATGTAAATATAATTTAATTTCAATATTTTAGTTAATTACTAGTTTTGTGCTCAAGTAATGCCCCAAGTTGTTAATTGAATTTTAGGATAAACTTTTTTGCCCAAATGTCAAATATTAACATATATCATTATTTTTTTTAATTTTTTTCTTACGAACAAATATTAACATGTATCATTGATACAACTAATTTTCTATAGTAGGCATATAGGAAGTTTTAACGTATGATAAACAACGATGTTGTAAGATGATATCTAATTTATGAATTAATGGTCACTTAAAAATTATAAATAGAATGAAAATCATCATTATTAAGTAGATTTAGGACCTACAAATAAAGCATCTTGTTTGAAAAACTTTTTAAATATGATATAAAAATAAAATATTAAAAAGATATTTATTGAGAGTTATATCATTTATTTTATAAGTATAAAATATTGGAAGCTAAATTTTGTATGTGACTAGTCACATGATAGTAAGACCACATGTCCACATTTGTTTATATGAGTAACTTTTATATGAGTAATATTTATTCATTCATATGATGAGTAGTCAAACCCATGCATGCATACATTAATTTGCAAGGGTAACTTTATTTATTTTATCCATACAAGTAACCTTAATTCAATATACAAGTAACATCAATATATAATTACGAAAAGTTAATAAATTAATAATCTCATCATTTGTTCATTTGTTGTTTTTTGTTTTAACTATTAAAAAAATAAACGCACTTGTTTATATTAGTAACCTCATTTTTCCATTGTAGCTAGTAACTACCATTTATCTCTTGGTAATCTCATTTGTTCATCATTTTAACCCTTATTATATAATTAATTATATTATGTTAATGGTATGAATGTAAAGTGGTCACACCATGTAGCTGACCACATATAAGAATTTGTGAATCGAAAAGAAAACTCTATTTTTTTAAAAAAAAAAAAAAAAAAAAAAAAAAATTGAATTTCACTAACTAATAAAATATAGTATAAAGTTACTATATATAGAAGTGATTCAAATAAAAAAATAAAACAACCATAAAAGGAAAGTGGTGCAAATAAAAAGAAAACGGATGAGCTATTTCACTTCTAAATGGTATGAAATTTATTATTAAACACTTTTCAAGTGTATCACTACAAGTAAAGCTAAAGCAACCCACCAGCAATTAGGAACACTTTAAGCACCAGTTGACTGTTACATTACATGCTATTTGCTCTTACGTACGAAACCATGCATGACATACATAATTAAAAAGTAAACTACTAGTACAAAACCTACTTAGTATTACTTGGCTTGTGATTTAATTGGTGAAGTGTGTTCAAGGATATTTATGTCCAAGTCCTCCACCAGCACCTCCACCAAATCCAGCTCCCGCACCACCACCAAGCCCACTACCGAGGCCATTGCCTCCATCACCTCCAAACCCTCCACCACCTCCTGCTCCTCCACCTAATCCACCACCAGCTCCAGCTCCCCCTCCAGCTCCAAACCCAGCACCGCCACCAACACCACCCCCTCCGCCGAATCCACCCCCAAGTCCACCACCAGCTCCACCAACACCAATACCAGCACCACCACCATATCCAAAACCACCCCTAAGACAGGCACCACCTCCACCTCCACCACCGAATCCTATGCCTCCACTTTGGTGCCCGAAAAAAAACTTCTCATCATCATAAGAATGAGAGTTAGCTAGCTTCCTAGCACTAGTAGTGTAAACTAGTGCACCAAGAAACAAACATAGGAAAACCTTAGAGCAAGTCATCTTTGTGTTAATTAGGGTTTCTTTATCTAAGTATGGAATCTTAAAAGACTTGGAATGAGAAATAGAGAACTTCTTAAAGGGATTATATAGTGATGGATTTGACTATAGGGATTACGCAATTTGTGTTGCCAAAAGATTGGAATGGTTGTAGAGCTCAATAATTAATTTACATGGTCATCTAATAATAACCGTGTTAGTTTAACTTTAATGCTTTCAGCTGCTTTGTTTGACATAAAAACTTGATGAAAAAGCTAACGAATTTAATCATCCTTGTACCATACTTTTTTGGTATGTTAATCTTTCTTCCACACTTTTCTTTCACCTTTAATAATCATAACCTTTTGCATGTCCATTTCAATATACAGATTTAATTGCTCATATGATGCCCGAGTTCTAAGCTATTTTCTCATCACCGATAAAGCTCATTCTGCCTAAATTCCTAATGTTTAACTCACTTTATTTAATTTGCTTTTGCACAATTTCTACGTACATCTTTTATCATTGATATATTTAACTAGGTATAACTGAAAATAATGAAAAAGTTAAAATTACATTAAGACAAATCTACCAATTCTACCTAATTTTTTCCCAAAGTATTAATTATAAAATACAGTGAACTCTATTTTATTTTGATCAAGTGAATAGTTTTTTTTTTTTTTTTTTTTTTTTGGGGGGGGGGGTATAGGCTTACTGAATATTAATTCAGCTAAATATTTTGAAACAGTGGTAGTACATATAAACTTTTTTTTCTTTTTGATTTGATAAAATGAAAAGAAAACAATTTAATGCAAGAAATGAGAGATTAATGTGTGTGGTTGAGAGAAACCATGGAGTGGAATAAGCACATGCATTGTTTCTTTAAAAAGAATACTTCGTCTTTGTGTACAAATTAAAAAATAACTTTATAGGTATATATGAGGGATGAAGTGGCTATTGAAAATGAAAGAGTACGGAAAAAGATACTCCCTCTGTTTTTTAATACTTGCTCCATTGCTTCATGCACAGAGTTTTAGAAGAAATTGGAAAAAATAATAAAATATGGAGGTAGTTGGGTAGGTGGAAGAATAAAAAATTGTAAAAAACAAAAGTAGTTGAGAGAATTGGAGGAGAGATAATATGAAATTAATAAAATATGATTTATGTTGGGTCAACTAGGTGAGAGAAATGAATTAAATATTATAAAAGCTTTCCAAATAAGGAAATAGAGCAAGTATTTAAAAATGGAGGGAGTATGATAAGTGTATAAATCAATCACGAGTTTCAACTATCAACTTAGAATTTGGGTTGAATCGATCCTTTAACATGACATATATAAGAGCCAATGTGAGGAAAAGATCACGGGTTCATGCGATAAATAATTTATATCTAAATCTATCCTAGGCTTCAATTATTAGTTTAAGCTTTTAGTTAAATTGGTTCAGTAACAGTCTAACAGACAAACCTAACATCCAGGCAAGTAGTTGCTTGCTTTTTTGCTGAAATGTCAATTATTACTTATATAATTTGCATTTGATTTGAGACACCCGAAAGCAAACTTATTAGAGCTATATTTTCTTTAATAAAATAAAATATTGTAGTTTATTAATTCCATTCTAGGGTGTAAAGTGTACTGTAATTGGTGCTTGGATGAAGGCATAGGTATGGTGTGATTGTTTTTGTGTCACACTAAATTTAAAACAAAATATATATAATTAAGGATTTTCAAAAGAGCATGCTATGTCAATATTTACCTTTCATTAAATATAAATCATCTCGCTCTCAACAATTAAACATGTCACTTGAACCAACTAATTAAGGTAGTAGCTTAGCTTGAGTAACATTGGTATAAGTAATTAGTCACACGTAAATTGTTTAATTATATCCTCTTTGTATATATATATTTTGTCTTTTAGGTGTTCCATTTTTTTAATAAGCAATAATATAATGTCTTATTAAAATAGAGTTATACCCCCTCCTTTCTTTATCATTCTACTTACTTTCCGAGTTAAGCCTTTTTTTTTTTTTATTCTTCTCACTTTACTTTATTCTATTTATGGCATACCTTTTTACCATTTTACTCCTTAAATCCACAATACTTACACTTTCTTACCCTCTCTTTTACTTTATTCAACTTTTTCTTACATAAACCCACCTTTTACATTCTCTCTCTTACTTATGATATTTTATTACACCCACCTACATTCTTTAATAATTGCATAAATTGCATATCTATAGTAACTGAGTATAATATACGAGAATGGAGGAGTACATATATAAAACCATACTTAATTTTTGAATAATAATTATTCTTTATACTATAATTGCTGATCAAACATAATAATGTAGTCTTATTCCATTTGTTGCAATGACAACTAAGATCATGGTAAAACTTTGAGCAACCACAACTAAAATTGGAATCTAATTAATTGAAATAGTGTACTAATTAAACATTCATATTTTACAAGAACAATGGTTTCTATAGTGGGGATTCAATAATTATGATTAAGATTAATTGATAGTTTTAATTTTGAGTTTCCTCCTACTTTGGCCGACTTTGATGGCGCTAGGTAGAACATAAATCAGACAGAGTACACTTATTTAATGCCATAAATGGTAAATTCAACTTCTCCATAAATTCCCTTCAAAAAAAAAAAAAAAAAAAAGGCTTCTCCATAAATATTGAAAAGGCATACAATTGATGAGAGTTGAATTTGATAGGTTAAATAGTTTTACCAAATACTACGAGTAGTACTTGTATTTTATAGGTCCACTAGTTGAATAATGTGGTTTCCACTTTCTACTTTTCTAGGCTTATTGTTTTTTCATCGTCTCTAGCTTAATTGAACACACTTTTGATCATATATATGTTTAAACGTTAAAAAAAAACTATATAAGTTCGCCTAAAAAAAAAATTCGCATAAACTGATTAGACCTATACAATTTTAATTCTTTTTTTTTTTTTTGAAAGAATATACAATTTTAATTCTCATTAGAAGTCATAGCAATAATATGAGCAATAAAGTTCTAAACTTTAGAATATAAAAATAAAATCGGAGATAGTTATTTAAGTGAATTTGCTTTCTTTCACCTTACTGCCTTTTTTTTTTTTTTTTTTAAATGTGTATTAAAATTATAAATTTTGAATTATTTTACATTCTATGATACCGAAACATATTCTATCAAATATTATATATTTCCATACATATATGTGCAATTATGTAACAAGGGAAAAAGTAAAATTATGTGATAGGCATAATCATTTAAACGTTAGACCATGGTGGCCTGTATCGAAGGTGAAACTTTGTGAATTTTCATCAAGCAAACTTCTAGATTTTGGAAAACTTTTAACCTATCCTGATTAGAGGTGGCCAGTGGGCCGGGTTGGACCCAGCCCACCCTGACCCGCACAGCCCGACTCGGTACCAACCCAGTACAGCCCGGGTTTTGCCCGGGTTGTGTCGTGGGTCCAAAATTTTCGACACAATTCATTTCAACTCAGCTCGCTTTAACCCATTTGATTCGGCCCAACTCGCACAACCCGTTTTGATCCATTAAATTCGACACACCTAGCCCGTGAACCTACCCAACCCGAACCAGCTCGCACAACCCAGCCCACCTTGCACGCCCCCGCACGACCCACGACTCAGCCCACCCCGCACGCACGACCCACCTAACCCACATGGCCCACCCACCCAACCTGCACGGCCCACACAAACTTCTTATTATAAGTATAGGAGTGGTTTGATTGAATTATTTTGTACTTTTGATGGTCGTGTTAATTTTACAAGTGATACATGGACTTCTTGTTTTGGCGAATCTTTTCTTTGCATTACTGCTCATTGGGTGGATGATGATTGATTTATTAAAAAACGTATACTTTGTTTTCAAGCTATGGAAGAAAGGCATACCGGATTTAACATCAAAATTCGTATTATGGATTGTTTAAGAGAATTTCACTTGAATGGTAAAGTTTTTTCTTTGTCTCTTGATAATATATATAACTGCAATCACAATGTGTAACAATGTGTATTGACCATTTGAAAAATGATTCTAAGTTGAATTTGTTGTTGGGTGGTAATCTCTTACACGTTAGATGTTGTGCACATATTTTGAATTTCTATTTAAGAGGGTCTCGGTGAGTTGCAACCATTGCTAACTCAATTAGATCGAACTGTTATAAAATGAATTAGGATTACTTCCTCAGTTAGATGGAAGTACATGCCTATGAGTAAAGAGAGAAGTCTTAAGAAGAGACAATGATCTATTGATACCCCTACCCGTTGGAATATAATTCTACTTTCAATTTGTTAGTTGAATGATGCTATAAAGTATCGTGACGTTTTGACCCAACTTTACAATGAGACCCGTGTTGATTCTAGTGAGTTAATAACCGAAAGTCATTGGACTAATGCCTCTTTTGTTCGTGATGTTTTAAATGCTTTTGATAATGCAACTCATATTTTCTCTTATATCTATGAGCCTAACATCCATTTAGTCATATTGGAGTGTGTTAAAGTTGTTCACACCATCGAAGAGCATATGAAAATTGATGGACTTTGTCCCGTTCTTAATAGCATGAAATGTAAGTGGCATACTTATTTTAGTGAATTCCCAATCATTTATGGAATCGCTGCTATTCTTAACCCCAATGTCAAAGCCGAAGGTTTGAAAAATCTTTTAGAATTATAAGAATTACGTTGGCTTTGATTCCTTATTTTGTGATATAAGGATACGTAGGCATCTTAATTAAGAGCAAGCCATCAAATTATTAATTTTGTAAAAATTAAACAACCTTAAAAATAAATGTGCAAAATATTATTTCAAAATAAAAGTTCAAAACTATTTAAAAATACATACTTGGATATTTGACCCACACAACCCACTTAGCCATTTGGCCCACCCGACCCTAACCCACGAACCCACCCGACCCTAACCCACCCAACTCACAAACCCAGCTCGACTCATCTCGACCTACCCTCCAATCCACCTAACCCACGAACCCAGCTCGACCCACCCACGACTCGCCTAACCCACGAACCCAGCTCGACCCACCCACGTCCCATCTAACCCACGAATCCAACCATGGTGTGTTCAATTTCTCTATCTCAACACACGACCCGACCTACACCCTACCCTACATGGGTCGTGTCATGTGTCATGAAACCCCAACCCGCGACCTACCTAACCCAAATCCAGCTCGCATAACCCGCACGGTGGACACATCTAATCCTGATGCATTTAATGCGACATTTCTCACTTTTAGAGCATGTTTAATTGGAGTGTTTTTTTATTGAAAACGTATTCAAATAAACCATTATCGTTATCAAGTGTTTGGTTGGAAGGTTTGGGTAATAACAATTATCATTATCTAAGGGTAATGGTTTCCACCCATTTGTTACCTCTCTAAAACCTAAGGTAACAATTATCCTTACTCGCTCTCCTCAAACAAAAATAAAGGAAGACAAGTTTAAGTGATTAAACCAAACAAATGGAAAGGTAAGAATTAAATGATTCATTTCCTCTCACTTATTTATTTCCTTTTCACTCCAATTCCATTAGTCATATCGACCAAACACCCCCTTAATAACAAGATAGGCTTTTCAATGGTCGAATTATTTATACATCTTATGGCATAAAAGAGGTTGTAAGGCAAGAATTATTAGAAGAGAAAATAGGGATCCAAACTTTTTTCTTTTTGATAAATTATTATAATTTAATATGGCCTAGTTTGACTAAGAATTGATCGTATTTTTACACTAATGTATAAGAAGTAAAATCATCAAGTGACATCTTGTGCTATAATTCATCTCAATGTAAACATTCACAATATGTAATTCTCAAATTTTTGTTTTATTAAAACTCAATCAAATATATCTAATTAAAACGAAATATTAGTAGTTTTAGTCCAATTAGAATATTTTGGTCAGTTCCAATAAGAATAATAACGACAAGCAATAAATTTGAATGAATAAGTTGAAGAGGACAAATTTGAAGGATGGAATGGATTGTGCAACTGGCGCATAGCAGCTATTTATTTAGGATGCATATAGGAGGGCTAATTGGTAAATTCACATGACATTAAATAATTTTTGTAATTTTTTATGGTTACATTAGTATTTTTATAATGTACTATTATACATGTATTTTATACTATTAGAGTATAGCTTGTCTTAGTAGTACTATTTATATGTAACAGTGATACAATATTTAATGGTACTATTTATCTATTTAATGGTACTTTAGACCAATCTTCATATTTACAACTCATCCACCACTTTAAATGGCAAGTAAATAGCAGCTATGCGCCAAGAGTTTTATATACTGGATTATGGGTGATGTATGTTGTCCATTTTCCCATAGTAAGACGACTTATAATCTAGGGGGTTTAGCTCAAATTACAATTTTATTTAGATTTTATATTAAGATAAAATCAAACAATCATATACACCAAAAAACCATAACTCTGTTTGTCTCTTTATGTTAATTTTATTTTCTTTTTGTATAGTTTTTTTTTTCTTTTTCCACCCGGTTCACCCTTTGGGCTAATCCGAATTCGGGGCTCATTTCCGGATGGTTAGATTTTAGTCCCTTCTCAATTATTGTTACGAGGAATTGAACACGCAATTCTTCCTACCAAGTGCAAACCTAATCATCACTGCACCATCATCCAATTGATTCTTTTGGTATAGTTTTCGATGCATAAATTTAAGCATCAATATCTTTATGTACACATTATAAATTTTTTTATAAAAAGTAGATTTATATATCGAGACAAATTTTACAAGATTTTTATGTGCATATGTTTTTTCTTACATATAATAAATGTATAATTAAAGTTTTACTTTTTTTCGACTTATAAATTCCAAATGTAACTAACAAATAAAACAAAAAGTATATTACAGTTAAATAAAAATATAGTCAAACTTAATTATACGAATGACTCCAAAGTCAGAAGTTCAGAACACCAGTACAATAAAAGGAGGAGGTGCAAAGCACTCAATTAATGAATTTGAATTTATTTTTTTTAATGGGCCTAGTCTAGTAACATCTCATTATTGACCCAATCCTTTCACCTCTTACTTGGTGGGAAAGTAATCATAAGAGGGCCCAATTGTCGACATAAAATTATTGGGCCTATTAATTCAGTCGGCCCTTGTTGTTGACTTTATTTACTCTGAAAAATATTATCTAATTCCTAAAAACATTATCCACAAATATATCACAAAAAATAAACAATACAGTTGAGGTGGTTATTCTTCCTCTATGAGTTGCATTCATTGTTCATCTCCACCTTTTCATTTGCAAAAACAAAAGCATAATGCTAAAATACCTACCAACTTATTTGGAAAAATTTCAACAAAAAGGCATTACAATGTTAATATTTTAAAAGTTGGTGTTTTTTCTACGGATAATTTTGAGGCTTTTCCTACTTCTCTTACCCTTGCTGTTGCTAAACCTGCTGATACTGAAGTTTTGTTGAAAACGAGGTATGGTTTTATTTCATATTTGATTGTGTATTTGTAATTCGGAAATTATTTGGTGAGCCATGGTTGTATTATGGCTCGTTTGGTTGGCAATAATAAATTTGTGTAATTTCAAAAGACAATCTTATGTAAAAGTGAGTGATAACGAAGTTTTATACTAATGATATTTGGCATGAAAAGTTTGATAAATTACATGCGATTATATTACTATTACTCTCGTTTATCACCACCTATTATTCAATGATTGAGTATGGTTGATAATGAAAAGCATTTGTGATATGTAATTTCGTATTAATGTTACTCTATTTTATAGTATAAGGTACTTGAGCTTTGTAATAACAAATTTGAGTACAAACTTACTATTTGGTAGCATATGTGGCTTTCAGGTTTTAATGTTGCTCATTCAATTTGCAGTGCAGTGCTGATATTTTTCTACTTGTTAGCCAATTTTGTGGTGCCACAATTTATCACCAAAAGTTTTGAGGACAACGCTGATGAAGACGAGAAGCCTAGCAGCTCGGACTCTGTGGATGAGGCAAAAACGAGCTCAACAAGGAAGCGTGGTTTTGACAGCACCAAACCGAAATAAGCATATCCTTTTACATGCTCTAATCTATAAGCAATAGCATGTACGTTTCGCTGTTACTCACTCGGAAGTTATTATTTAAGATTGTATGGCAGTGACAGCAGTTACAGTACAGTAAGTAATTCAGAATAAGTGCATGATTGCAAGAACAAACAAATTGCGGCTAATTCTTGAATAACAAAATTATTTTCCATTTCTATAGTGTTCTGTACGATTGTACCTGAACACAAAAAATAATTACAATATTGTCCATGGAATTTTGGATGGACTGATAACTATATCTAATTTACAATTTGATTATAATTTATATTAGCAAATATTCAAACAACTGTCCAATCATTTTCATCTGAACCAGATGAGTTGTTGGCTGGGGGTGGTGTGTTTTCGGGTTTAGGAGGCTTCTTTGAAAACAGAGTCGATTTACTATCAAAAAAATTCGAAAATGGCTGGCGGGCTGGAGCCTCTTCCGCACTATTATTCTCGTCTGAGGATGATTTTTTTGACCTGTTTTTTCGGCCAAAAATCTGGCTTAACTTCTTAAACCGGGGTTTTGGTTCCTCTGGGGCGGCATTTGTATCTTCGGACTGCTTCACAGCTTTCATGACATCGTCTGGTCGAAGAAACATTGCTTCAACTGTTTCGTAAACCTGCACAAGGCAAGAACATAAAAATACATATTAGCTTATGTCAGAATAGTAAAGCACAAATGAGATAATGCAGTTATATTAACCTTTATGCACCTTAACTCTTTCAGCTCAGATGACATACTATTTGTTGCACGGTAAGGATTTAAAAACTTACATAGAGAACAATACTTCAAAATTTTCAATTCAATTTTTAGGGGGAAAATAAAAACCTGATGAACTATGCCTATTGAATAGAGATGGAAGTACTATTACTACACAGAGTGACAGGCTGACAGCATTTGAAGAAAGTACAGAACCAGCAATTGGGTATGAATGACAAGTTCAAGACGTATAATACGTTGTATCGACTTTACTGGAAGATTTACCTGGCAAATATCGTCAATTTTCTCCATCCAAGCATCGCCCTGAAATGAAGCAACTACAAATTCTTTACACTCAGAGAACAGTTTTGCTACATTTTCATCTGTCGAAAGCTTAGCCTCAGCAAGCACAAATCCTAAACCAAGCTGAAACCAAAGTAAAACACAGGTGAAATATTGTCCACAACTTAGTGAATGGAGATAAATAGAACATAAAGTAGTCATAGAACTTACCAACGACCGAAATAACTGGCCAAATAGCTCAGATGGAGTAATGTTCTCCAATACACTCAGCACACCTTCCCTACAGAATACCCACATGTTCAAGTTTAGTATTAGGCAAAGTCATAAGCAGCATCTGATGTATTATTCTTCAAACTTACACTGCCAAATCCTCATCAAATAACGGTGCTTGTCTAACCGCAGGCACTGACTTGGCAGCTTCCCAAAGTTCTAGCCATAAATTACCTAAAAAAACAAGGGATCAAAAAGGCTTTCCACAAAAATGATTTTTAACAGCTACAGAACAACTTCTAGCATCAATTCTTTTAGAATTGTCAATTAACACTATAACAGTGCCAAAATACAAGAACACTCTCCTCCTCCCCCCACCCCCCAAAAGAAAGCCAACAAGCGCCAAAACTGAGTGCCATCTCAATTCTGACATTACACAGATTGAATAATATAATGGTAATGAAGAGAAAACATCATTGCATTATGACCTCTGGCAGAGAACTCTAAAACAAAAGGATTAACAGCTTCATCCACTAACAACTCCATAAAGTGCAACTAGCCAGATAGGGCTGCATCAAATAGCCTTATACAGTGATCTCCACAGCAAACCCTAGTAGGCGACCTTATCACCCAAAACTTCATGTATAATGGTCTTTTTAAAAGACATTCTAATATAAACGCTGAGCAGCCAAAGACCTGTTGGTTAGACAGCACATCTGGAGCCTTCCAAGTGTTCCTGAACATACATCCAGGATCACTCCCATAATACAAGTAAAAAGCACAACATACTAGGGAAAAAACAAGTGTTATTATTCAAAATATGGTGGCAAATTCAAGGATGGGAGCTAATTCAGCATGGGCCAAATGGTCATCACATGGTTAGAAGCATTTACTCCCTCGGTCTCAGAGTGATACTTGTTCTTTGACTAATCTCATTTCATTGTCCTTTGGGATAATATATGTGTATTTACCCATATTTGACAAGCCTAAATTTCAATTATACTAACACACTTAATAGCTGTCCACAGTGCTAACAAAAGAGAGGATAATATATCCAGGTGACAAGCTAACCTTCTTTCTGCATACGTCTACTTAATCGACCTCTGGATGACGTTGAATCACCTCCACACGTACTTGCATCAGAATCATTGCCAGACTCATTTTCTGTCCAATCAGGAGGAGAGTGCCACCTTACAAAGTCCTCAAGAATACATCCAGGATTTGCAGCCTGACAAAGGTTTAGTAGCAGAATTTAGCAGCTGTTATAAACAGAGACTATTAACCCTGACAAATGATAAGAAAAAACAGGATATGTCGTCTTTTTCTCAAGCACTGGACACACCTTGAAAGCTTGCATATCAGACAAAAGCTGGGAACAACCAGCACCAACACTGCAAATCAGCAATAAACAAGCTATCATGAAACTGATACAACGCAAACCAAATCATATTATAACAGTTACAGGTATAGGTCATATTGATGATGTCATAATGCCCAAGGCCCCAAAAAAAATATTATGATCCAAACTAGCTTACTGCCATATCTGTGATGACTGAAGCCCAATGACGGTTTCATGTTAAGGTGACCCAATTAAAGTTTTATCCCATTCAATAAGGTGAATTGCAACGGTGCTTAAGTTTTGTGACCTGAGATGCTTATTAACACTGTTACAATTTATCAACTAGAGATAGTAGACTAATCCTAGTTTTATCAACTAAAATTATGGGATTGCAGAAACCCTGAATAAAGGTATACACATAGGTGGGAGACTTTAATGAACCATGGTTATGAGGAAGGCTTGGCAAAGCTCCTGTTTCATTGAGGACCCAAATTCTGAGCCAGGCTTCAGTAGAGCATGACAACTTTGCGTGAATTGCTACTGTAGATTTTAGATTTTTATTTTATTTTATATTTTTTACCTAACTTTGCAACAATTTTCCTATGTAAAAAAAACAGAATATGGCCTTCAAGGTTGACAGCAAGATAGAGATTACAATTCCACAATATAACTGGAAAAGGTTAGTAATGCTAACCTCCCTGTTCGGAGAACAAACTCTTCAGCTTCTCGGGCAAGATCCTCTGTTAGCAATGGTCCTTCCTGCAGATGCACATAATAACTCAGCAACAGAAACAAGAAGGGAACATCATATACACAGTATACTGAACAAACCTGCGTCAAAGGAGCATACACAGGTTCTCCAGTTTCCAACAATGTCAAATTTTCAGCCTGATGACTGACTCCCAACCGTACAATAAGATCCCCAGTGTTTGTTTTGGCATACAAAAAGGAACCTGAAGTTATTCTTTTGACCGAGGAAGGCACTCCATCAGTATCACAACCAGCTTCATTGATTAATGACTCCAATGAGTCAGTAGCAATAGCACGACGTTTTTTTCTAGAAAGACAACAATTCATAAGTTGCATTTGCTGATAGAGCAAACATAAACTTAAATCTGGTACTTCATTCAGAGGAATTCCAGGTATATACAGCTCTTCCATCCAAAGTCTTCTGAGCTGCACATTTGGAAAAATTAATTTTAAAAAATTAACAAGGTCTTAATTTATCTTATGATGCAATAGGAAGTACAACATTGTAGTTTAAATCTAATGAAAAAAAATAGTAAGCCACAGAGAGAATCGGGAAATTGCATTAGGCGATTTAGCTACAAGTGGATACAGGCATTAAACAAAGGAACACTTTAATGCATTAGAACTTAGTTATGGACAGTTGGACACAAGGCTTTAAGAAAACATTATTTAAAGAAGTTTTCAAAAGAATATAACACTTTCTGATGTATATGGTAAATCAGAGTTTCACTCGAATCTATATTTCCCCCCCCCCCCCTTTTTTCTACTGTTTTATGATTTTTAGAATAGAGAAATTAATTTTAGAAGGGGGGGGGGTGGAGGTTAATAATGCTATTCAAATGTCTTCACCACAGGAATTTTATAAATACTTTAAATTATGTGCATGACTTACTTCACTGACAATCCTGCACCAAAATAATGCCATTTTCCGTAATGTCTTAAAGCTTCCCATGACTTCAGAGACTTTAACAATTAAGCTTTGTGGTGGTGCACCATGGATATCTCTTGGTAATGCCATTGTGCTAGGCAGAGTTTCAACCAAAAAGCCGACTTTCCTACCAGGAGAAAGTCCCTCTGCGAACATCTTGTAGATATTACAATGGAAGTGAAGATCACTAATGTATAATTGACCAATTTTTAGTTTAAAAGTTATTCTATGTTATATATACTTGACCACATAAGCAACTATGTACTGACCAGCATCAAGTATAGATTGAATTAAAGCCCAAGCTTCATCGTCGCTGAACTCAGAAGTAAATTTCTCTTCCTTCCCACGGAGCATTGACTTCACTGCAGAGATGCCCATACTCGCCCTTTCTCGAACTGGGGAAGAACTTGCAGATGATGTGAGAAAATCTTTCACTGACCTGTAGTTCTTTTCTGATCTGTCCAGTACCAAAACTGAATTAGATTTCAGAAATGACTATTGATAATAAAGTAATAACTTGTTTCAACAAGATTCAAAAAAAAGTGCAGGATAGCTGCAGGATGAGATGGATTTGTTGAACTACCAAAAACACAGAGAGCTTATTAACAACAACCTCAACCTTAAACGGGTACAGAGTTTATCCGCCAGTATGGTAAGGAATTAATTGACATGAAACAAGCAATATATGTTAATTTCACCTGATGTACAGGCATGAGTTTGCTTATATTACATTTTTGTACATTGATAAGGCCAATAAACAAGAACAAAATGAAGTTATTCATAGGTTGAAAGTAGTGAATAGTGAGCTTACTCAATGGCAACAGCCAGTTGTTTCAACACAAGTGAAGGTGGGATTATATCTCTGTTGCCATCATAACTATCTGAAGATGTCTCCAACCCCTGTACACATCAAAAAATTCTCCATAAATAAGCTAAATCAGAATTATAAAATCAAATCAAACAGAGTCGGGGTAAAAGAGACTAGGATGAGGACCTAATAGATATGTAAAGTTGGTTGTACTATACTACCTTCCTCATTACCTCTCCTTAGTCCGTTAGTCTTCTTCCACATGACATCCCAAAGGATAGGTGAAAATTATATGAAGTTAATTGATTCAAGTAATTATTTGTGTTTGCAAACCCACAATTCAACAGATATTTTACTTTCTTCATCCAAATGATAAAAGTACAAGCCATGGGGGTCAATACAGTGCCCATATTTACTCCGATATTGTCCATCATCAGTACTAGTCATTTATGCAGTTTTAGGTCATTGTTTTGGCGGTCTCACATAGCCAAAAATAACAAAAATGAGATCTTTAGGAATTATCTTTCTGTAATCAGTGGCATCAACGTAGCAATAAACAGAGTAAAAGGTTGTTTTCTAAGCTCAGGATTGCCATTACAGATATAGAGAAAATGGGAATGAACACCAATATGTGGCCAGACAGTAGCATAAAACTAAAACTCAATTTTCATAAGATTTAATCAGGTATAAAGTAGAAGTGCAAGAAGAAAACTTGTCATAGAATGCAATATTTAACATAAAGGTAAAGTATTTCACCTTTGCTTCCAAAGCAACTTTTTCATTATACACATAAATATTTTCATCAAAAATTGGAAAGGACATCTTTGTATTCTCAATGTTCTCTGTGTCTTCAGTTCCCTTTCTACCTCTTCTGATATTCCTTAGTCTCTCATGCCAATCCTGTTTTGTCCCTATACTAGGTGGCTTCCACCGGGATTGCTTTGGCTCGTTGAAACCCTATAGAGACAGTGATCAGAACATAAATTTTTCCAGAGCAGAAGTGATTTCATGTATAGCACAGAGCGTTATAAAACTATATAATAAATTAGAAGATAAGCACAGATTTAGGTAGCAAATTGGTATGTATGCTATGGAAGGAATTCTGTCAATCATTGCATGTTCTTCAAAATCCACGAACACACAACTTCTCGTAAATTATAAAAGAAGTCTTCAGTTTCAATTATGCTCTTAAACAAGCTTTCGGAAGCTGAACTTTACACCTTTATAACTTTGTTTACGAGATGAGTGCAACTCTACCAGCAAGAAAACACTAGTCCTATCCTGAAAGCAGAATTCAAGTATGCTAGAGCAAAAATGGCCAGTAATCTTCAAAGAAATCCGTATTAAACCTGCTTCCTCCAATAATGCAGCAGCCCAATAGCAAAGCAAAAAGTACAGATAAAGTGTAACAAAACCAATGTCCTTCCAATCAAAGTTCATCCTAAAATTGCTCAAATATACTCAAACGAAATACCGAATTACGTCGATTTATACTGTTATAACAGTTCAATCCTCCACGCAACAGCCAAGAAACTATCGCCTCATTTCGAGATTGGATCACATCAAGCACAAGAAACTGCTGACTTTGATCAAGCAGTTTAGAGCTTTAATTCAAACTACTCAATTCTTACACCACATTGTTTTGGTAATCCAAATTCAACCTAATTTAACACAAATGCCTTACATTTACAGCCATCAACACCAAAACAAAACTTGAAAATTTCAACAAGAAATTCACAATTCAGATCAAAAGCATAACACATTCAACCAAATGCAAATTGACCACATTCACCACCAATAACCCCAATCAATCAAAATTCAAAAACTCCAAAAACCCAATTTTCAATCAAAATTCAAAAACTCCAAAAATCAAATTTTTAATCAAAATTCATAAATGACAAATCAAAAAGACTAACCTTTTTTACAACCTCAGAAGATGACAAAACTTCTTCAAATTGACAACCTGAACTCTTCTTACTCAACTGCTCATCTGAATCTAAAAACCACCAAAATTCAAAAAAAAATCAAACCTCTTTTTTTTTTTTTTTTTTTGATAAATTTAACTTCTTTTAATTAAAACAACCCAATTAAAAATAAAATCCAGCTAAATTATTGCTGTAAATACGAGGAGAAAATATAGAGGGCGAAAATGGAGGTTAAAAAATGGTGGGTAAAAAGATAAAAAAGGGGAACCTTTAAGATCGGATTTCAAATCAATGAGAACTCTCTCCGCTTTAGCAGCAGCGGAATGAAAGGCAGTCCTTGCCTTTGAAACAAGCGATCCTCCCTCCATTTTTGTTTTTGTTTTTTTCTCTCTCCTCAATTTTTCAATTTCCGATGATTTCTCCGATTTTTTCGCCCATTTTTGGGTTCATTTTTATAGTTGGAAAAAAATTTGATGACAGGAGCAAACGAGGAAGGAAGAAGATGGGTTACAGTACAGTAGTCAGAGAAAGGGAAATAAATGTAATATTTTTTGATTTCTTTGTTCTTTGGATTTGATTTAATTTTCTTTTGCGTTGAGAGAGTCGTAACTATATGGTTGGATTCATTCTCGATTATGAAAATTATGGAACATTATTGTATGATCAAACTTCAATTTATCTTCTTGATAGATAAATACGTGAATTAAGAGTCGAGTTGTATATCTTTGGGTAAAATCGCTAACCATCCAATGAATGCAAGTATAGCTTGATCTAGTGGTAAGGTTTGCATCTCATAATCATGAGGTTGTGGGATCTAAGTATCAAATCCCACTAGAGACACTTTGGAGTGGGGATCCCTTAGCCTTCTCCCCCACTTTCAAAGTGTCTATCCCAGTAACCCCGGTCGGGAGGGGACCTATGAGAGGTTCCGACCCGATAGGGTCCTTGTCCTTACCAACCAAAAAAAAACCAATGAACAATACTACAGTGAGCGATTTTTTTATAAGTTTGTCTCTTGATTTGCATTCTAAGTTTTTTTTTTTTTTTTTTTTTTTTTTTTTTTTTTAACGAACGAGCCATAAGGGTCATACAAGTTAAAAAAAAAATAATTAAGGATTGAGGGATTAAACTTGTGACCTATCGTATACAGAACCTTAGTACTGTAAGATATGTTTTTTTTTTTTTCTTTTTTTGAGGAAAATGGTAATGTAAGATATGTAACTCTTAAGGCACATGAGTTATTCTCGGTTCTTGAACATCTTTAATATATGCTTTCAAGGTTCTTAAGACTTTAACAATTTAAGCTATCTATATGGATTTTTTTTTCCTTTGTGCGAATGAACTACAAGAGCGATACTGATATACTTATATAGGTTATATCTACTTGGGAATTGAGAAAGAGTGAAAAGTTTAGTTTGTTTAAGCTTTAGCTTTAACTACCTTATTTATTATTTAAACGGATAATAATGAGCCCTTTTCCTAAATAATGCTACCAAAAAACTCAATTCCATAAATACAGTCACTTTTTTTACAAATTCCCACAATACCGTCCACGTCACCAGTTCAAGTCATTTTTTAATTTTTACGGTTTAATGTGAAAACCGCTACTTGAAGTCGGTTTACAAAGATAAACCGTTACTTGAAGTAGGGGTTTTATCTTAGTAAACCGCCACTTCAAGTGGCGGTTTTATGGCTTTGAGTATTAAATAAAAAAAATTAAAAAAAAATGTTAAACTTTATTCTCTCTCACCTTCTCACTTTTGGCTTCCAGTAAAAGTAAAAAAAAAATTCCTCAACAATGACATTCATTCTCAGACTTCTCACACGGCTCAAACATGGAGAAAAATTATTCAACCCACCTGATTCTGCCATCGAAGCGACGCTTGACGCTAGAGATGGTTGATGTTTAAATCAGGGATAATGGAGGGTTAGTATAGTTTATGCCTAATTTCGTTTTTATTTTGTCAATTCAATTGTTAATTTAGGCCTAATTTCATTTCTATTTTTTCAATTCACTTGTTAATTTATTCAATTTATTCAATTTTTGTAATTGTGTAATCCAGATCTATACATAGTAAGTTTTAATTTATTTATCTTTGTAAGTTTTGTTTTTGTTTGATTTGGAGTTTATCAATCATAATTGGCTCTGTTTTTTTTTTTTTTAAGTATTACTATCAATCTTGGAGTATTATAATTATGTAAATTTTGTTTTTGTATTTTGATTATTTGTTTGTTGAAAGATTATGTTGCTAGCTTTATATTTATTTTTTTAAAAAAAATTATAGCAGCAAGTAGCGGTTTTCACTTCTAAAAACCGCTACTTGAAGTAGCGGTCTTTAGTTTTGAAAACCGCCACTTCAAGTAACAGTTTCTTTCTGAACCGGTAAAAAAAAAATTGGGTTTTTTTAACTTGCTTACGTGGACAGTATTTAGGGAATAAAAGGAAAAGAAGATGTATTTAAAGAATTGGAGTTTTTCCCAACATTATTTTGGGAAGGAGCTGGATAATAATGGCATTGGTTGAATAATTGGGATTAAAGTGTTAAAAGGTTTAGGGGGGATCGCAATTAAAAAGTGATGACTGATGAGTGTGATTTGTTGCCTTGTTAATTGGTGTGACCGTGTGAGTGTTGAGTTAAAGACTAAACACAAATTAACGCGGAGCACCGTTATACAAATCCTGTCAATTATCTGTCTAATTGTCTAAATTGCAAGAGTTGCAATTATATTTGGTTATACGAATGCTATTATGCTAACTTCAAATAGCATCTATGATCATCAGTGGAATCTCATGGCCTCAAGCTTATCTTACAAATGATATGTACAGAGTATATATTTATATTCAATAGGCCCGGCCTTAGCATGTGTAGGGTGAACAACTGCACAGGGTCCAAAGGTTAATAGGGCCTCAAACTAATTTAAGAATATAATTAATTAAATAGCATTGTTTTTGAGTATCTCTGGGTGTAGCTTAATGGTTAGATGCTGGAGCATACCTTCAGGCAGATTGAAGGTTCAAGGTTCAATGTTCGTAAGCTTCACTATTTTATTTATTTATTAGTTTTTTCTTTGGTGGGTGGTACGCTTGGTTTACTTATCCACAAATAACACAATATTTATTAGCAGTAAAAAAATTTCATCCTACTATCTCATCACCAATAAGCAACACTCCAAAATCATACACATCTAACAAATACATTGAATCAAAATCAAAGAAAACATATCAACAAAGGTATAAATAAGGAAATCTTAAGAAAAAAAAAAAAAGCACATAATCCTATTTGCTAGACTAATGAGATCCAAAAAAAAAAAAAAAAGAAAAAAAAAAAGAGAGAGATAGAGAGGGGAAGGGTTTGATCTTATTCTTTGGATATCAACCCTTACAAACTTTAACAAACTAGATATATCATCCACAATTTGCTAGTGATGGTTGTTGAAAAGTTACATTCGATTTTATACGGAGTACTATAAATTGAACGAGGACCCTATTTATTTTTAATCGTACAGGGCCTCCGTATACTTTGGGACGACCCTGATATTCAACTAGACCAAGCTTGCTTTGTAGTTAGTAAATGTTTCTCAGCTATATGGTCTTACACTATTATATAGTTGATGCGTATTTTTATGGGCTATTTAGGAAATTCGGGGATATGAAGCTATTTAATCTAACCAAGACTAAATAACAACTAAATTGGTAGCTTTCTCAGCAAAATATCATATGTAATTCTCTTGCATACGAATTGATTAATTATAACTCAAAACTTCTCTCCCGAAAACATTACAACCTAAAGCCCTTTATATAGGCAAAACTAACTCTAGGATATTGTAAAAACAAAAGATAAACTAATCTGTAAATAAACTAAATCTATTAAAATAGAAGATAAATAACAATTAAATATTATCTATAATAACCACCCAAAAGATATACATTAAATGATTATTCTACGTATCTTCCTGATATGCATCAATAGTGACAAACTGACAACGAACAAGAAAACCTTTAAGTTTTAGAAAAATAAAATAAAATAACTATACTATGGTCGTGCTCTGCAAATTATAGTTATGAAGGTAGCGGTTAGCTGTGTAGGTAGCTGTTAACGGTAAAGATAAATAATTTAGATATGATTGTTCGATAAAGTAGCGGTTGACTAGATGTTACCCAAGTTTGTTCAACCAGTTTTTTTTACCCAAAAATCAAAATAGAAGAATGACTTTGATTAAAGACATGTGTTTGATCTTATCAGATCAATACATGCATGTATATTAATACAAAGTATACAATTATCTTACTTTGATTATGTCATATGTTTCCATTTTCAAGAGGGTTGTTCATTGTCGAAACGTGTAAAAAGTCGAATTTTATAATTAAATACTTTTAGTTTACATTTTGTATGTTTTTTACATTACTAATTACCTTCAAACATTTACTTTTACGTTGACGATACCCAACATTTAATTGAAGTATATTATAAAATTAATTAAATGTCATCTCATCTTATCTTGATTGATCGAGTATATGTACAACTTACGTCGCTTACACAAATCTAAAACTATAGTTGTTAATTGCCAATATCTTACGTTGAGAAAGGTACAAAAGTTGGTAGCAAACCCTCATTATCGCCCCTTAACATGGATTAACTTCTATTTATACATTATAATTATTCGTTGGTATTGGACTCCCTCTCCTCTTATTATCAGAAAGACAAATTCACAAGAAACGGTGAAGAAAAGGTCAAGGCATTAAATATTGGCTTTGACATTACTAGATACTTCAAGTGATACATTAACAAAATATTTTGAACAGGTCTTTAATAATTTAGTCATACACCACTAGTAGCAATTACATGCATAGTTGAGATTTGTAGCATAAATGGGGTTGGTTAGCATGCACAATTGCACAACATATTCTTATGCGAAAGTCACAAGCAAGTTGGTTGTAATTGCTATCTCTAATGAGTTTGAATATTTTGTCCTATGATCTATACTAAGATAATAAAAAGCATCTCTAACAACTTAAAGTATATGTGTAACGTGTCAGTATAATAAAGCCTCTAACCATAAAAAAAATAAAAAAAAATAAAAATCTCATTAAATTTGTTCATTTAGGTTTGCTCATATATTTCAATTTGCTCATTTTTTTTCAACATGATTTATGTCGAATGAAATCCAGTATCTAAAATATCAGAAGCTTTGTATAGAAAACTTAGAAAAATGAACAATTAAAATGAGTAATTAAAAGGATTTTTTGACTTTTACCACCCAAAAAAACAAAAAATTGTTTTTTACCACCAAAACTTCTAAAAATTTTATTTTACCACTAAAAAAAAAATTTAAAAATTGTTTTTTACCACCTACCGTCAAGAAAACCGTTAAATCTAACAGTGTTAAAAAAAAAATTCTTCAATTTCCGTTCGCAAAACATGTTTTTTTTTATTGGTTTAGGGGGGCATTTTGGCTCTTTGGATCCAATTTGAGGTCAGAATTGACAAAAAAAAATTAGAAATGCCTCGTTTTGCGTGTTCAACGCAAATCGAGGTACCTTTTAGTAGGAAAAACGAGCCATTTACAAATATTTTTTTTCAATTTTGACCTCAAATTGGACCCAAAGAGCTAATATGCCCCCCAAAACCCTAAAGAGCATGCTTTTGGCATGAAAATCGAAAATTTTAAAAAATTCC